CCAAGACCCCAATATCCAACACATGCACGCGAGGACGGTAATGGGAACTCATGAGGATGGAGGGGAACCAGACGAGAACGAGGAGAAGGAAGACATGCGACAAGTAAGCGCACATGCGACTTTGATCTCTCTCCTGCCTCCCCCCAGCCCAGAGACATTGCCACGTACACAAGACTCGGGCTCACAACATGCCCATCATATGTTGTTCACGACCCCCACCCGAGGAGTCAGCCACGATGGGCATATGGTGCGGCGCGTCATTTCGTTGCGCCGAACGGCCGATCAAGATCAAGACTATCTTGAGATGGATGACCACACGGATGACACATGATCCGTCAACAATTCACCCCAAATGACGCAGCGCGGAAAATTTGTCGGCAACAGGCGGCATTGCTGCGCTCCATGCGCTGGCCGATGGATTCGGCGAAAACTCTGTAGCGGCGAATCATGCGCACTTCTGGCACCGCGCCGCGGCTCGCACTTTGTGCCAGCCCTACTACAACTCATCCTGCACTTCCACAGCAGATTTTGATTGTCCGCGAACCCCTGCTTGCCAGGAGTGTGAGATATTTGGCTATTCCCTTCCCCGTATCACCCTCCCCAAAGATCTGAACTCACATTACAAGGGGGTGGGGCCGACGGGGTGGGGGACGAGCTCGTCAACGCACCCCCTGGCCTCCGGAGCCTCGAGACGGCCCAAGGTAGCCCCACAACGGTCCAACATGGCTTCGAGACCGCCCCCGAGGCCCCAAACCTTCAGGAACTTTAGAAACTTTTCCCCGAACAGTGCTTGCACTTCAAGGTTCTTACTTCTATTCTAAGGAACTGGGCCGTGTGTTCGGTCTGGCGGTTAGGTGGCCGCCGTCGCCACCCCGTCGCCGCTTCGTCCGTCGCCGTCCGTCGTCTGGGCCGTGCCGTCGGTCTTGCGAGTATTTGGCCGCCGTCGCCGCCCCGTCATCGCCTCGTCGCCGCCCGTCGCCGCCTAAATTGCACAACGTAGATTCTTCCTAATAAGACAAAATTCGGACCTACCATCCCAGGAAATAATCGCTCCCTTATTCGTATTACAATTTACGTACGATTCGGCCCCATCGTCCATCCAGGATTTGAACTCAGACCATCCCAGGCAGGCCAGTATCGCTCCCTCCCCCCCGTCCTTTGCAGTAAACACTGTGCACACAGGGCCCCAAGACGGCCCAAGATGCCCCAAAGGCGGCCGAAGTGACTTCCAAAAGGGCCTCCAGAGGGGCTTCAGATTGAGAGCTCCACGGAGCTCGAGGAGCCCAACCAAAAACCAACAATTTTCAAAAATGCCTTGCAACGAATGGGCCGACATGCGCACGCGCGCGTCGTCGCGCGCGCATGCCGGAATCTTTCAAGAACAATCGGTTTCGCAAGGATTTCAAAACCGAGTGCCCCGACAACATATATAAAACATGCTTCCCCAAGAAGAACTTCCAAAAGAAGTTTGCGCTCGGGCTCTTGCGAAATCTGGAGAAAACCATAGGTTTTCCAACATTGTCATAGCATTATGTCAAGCATGCCTTTCGAGCGCGCGTGTCGGAATCGCTCGAACGCCCTTGGGCGCGTGCTGTCGCAAAATTCCCTGGCAAAAACACGTGGCGAAGTGAGCGCGCGCGTCGTCGCGCGCGCATGCGGAAACCCATCAACAACCTTAGGCTTCGCAGAGGATTATAATCGAGTGTCCCGATTTTATGGCAACAAAAACAGCAGGGTCTTGTAACATCACTGGTCAAACATGCCTGCGCTCGCGCTCATGCGAATTCTCAAAGAACATTCGGTTTTCAACATGTTCATTCAGTTCGGCCAAACAGGCTTCCAGCGCCGCATGCCGAACTCATTCGAACGCCCTTGCGCGCGTGCTGGGGGGAAGGGGGGGGCACGATCCGTGTCAAATAACGCTATGCGGGCCACCCTCGTGCGTCGGCCGCGCGCGCATGTCGAACTCCCCCCAAAACCTTCATTACCGACGCGAAAACGCCGTCATCGTCGTCGGCGTGATTCGCATCGGCGCCGTCACTGGCCTTGCCGTCGTCGTTGTCGTCGTCGTCACCAGCCTCGCTACCACCATCATCGTGCCTGCCGTTGTCGACGTTGCCATGAGGCCGCTCCCGCCCAATTGGCCGACTCGCGCTGAAATGCCCGCTGGGACGTGCCCAGCGATCAGCGCCACCGCGGCCGCGTCGTTCGCACCAAACCAGCTGGCCGCTTCGCGCGCGAGCATGCGCGGGCTAGCGCGGCCGCAGAGATGCACAAGCCAACGCCAAACACTCATCGCAATAACCGCCGCATGGGTTTTGCAAATAAGTTGCGGGTGGGCTGATGGTGTTTGCGAGGGCAGTGGAACCGACAACTTCAAGCTCGGCAAGGTGAACTGCACCACGCAGATTGCACCGCAAACGGATATTAGGAACGACCCCCCCCCTCCATACTTAACGATTCCCCTCCCTTGTCGTATTGCAATATACATGTGATTCTGCCCCATCGTCCATCCGAAATTACGACCTCGTACCATCCCAGGCAGGCCGGTATCGCCGCCCCCCAACCCTGTGCAATAAACGCTACGCGCGCATTCGTTTATCAAGAATAAAAAATCCAAGAATCGCTCTCAATAAAACGGGACGAAATGCACACGCGCGCGTCGTCGCGCGCGCATTCCAGAATCCTTCAAACAACCGTAAGTTCCGCAAGGGTTTCAACATAGAGTGTCCCGAGAACATACAAACACACGGTTTCGCAACAATAGCTTTCAGCAGCAACACTCGCGCGGGCTCCTGCATAGTTTTCCAACACTTTCACAATTTGCTACTACATGGGCCTCCCTCGCGCGCACGTCGGCATGCTGTACGAACCCCTTACAACAGAAAAAAAAACTGCACGCGCGCGCGCGTCGTCGCACGCGCATGCCGAAATCCTTCAAACACCGTCAGGGTTCGCAAGGAATTCAACATCGAATGCCCCGAACTTAAAGAAAACACGCAGTTTTGCAAAACCAATTTTCAAAAATGCCAGCGCTCGCGCTCCAGCGCTTTTTCTCCACATCCTCATTGGGAGTCTTGTTTTCTCTGGACACCCCGCGCAGGAACCCGCCCGCATCCTCATCATCGTCACCACCATAATTATCATCAGCATCATCATCAGCATCATCGCCCCCTCTCTTCGCCAGTCACACACACACTCACACTCATCATCATCACCACCACCACCATCATCATCATCATCATCATCATCATCATCATCATCATCATCATCATCATCATCAGCGTCTTCATCATCACTCAGTCCCACACTCATTCACTCACCCACTCATCATCATAATCATCATCAACATCATCATCGACATCACCCCCCAGACTCTCTCACACTCATACACAAACGCATTCACACAGTCACACAGTCATACATTCATCCTGAGATGATCTATGGCAGGAGTCTCGTTTGTGAGTGAACTGTGGGGCCCCAGGCGGGAACCCCCTCCCTATGGGTCACGCGCTTCATGTTGGCAATCGGAGTGGGTCACCCAAACCTTGTAGTAACTATCGTCACATTTGGGCCCCTCGCGCCTGAATTTTGAAGGGGTCTCAAGCGGGAGCCTCGTTGGTGAGGGAACCCCCTTCCTATGGAGCCCGCACTTCATGTTGGTAATCGGAACGGGCCACCGAAACCAAGTAACTGTCGTCGCTTTTGGGCCCCTCGCGCATGACTTTTTAAGGAGCCTCAAGCGGGAACATCATTTTTAAATGAATTCCGAGGAGATTTTAGGGGAGAGCCCCTCACTATGGAACCCGCACTTCATGTTTGTAATCCGACCGGGTCATCCATGCCCTGTAGCTGCCGTCGCTGTTGGGCCCCTTGCGCCTGAGTTTTGAAGGAAGAAGAAGAGATGGCAGAGCAGAGGAGGGCGAAAGGAGGATGTCCAGGGCTAAATGCAAGCTGAGCCGATTTGCGTGTGGGGTCCTACCATCGATACATAAATATCAACGAGTTTTTTTTAACCTGTTTATGGAATTCTGCCAACCGGGCCCCTCGCGCCGCACGTCGAAATCATTCGAACGCCCTCGTGGGCTCTGACCCGAAGCCAAGGACTGTGCGCCGAACCTCCACGCTGGAGGAGTTCGAGGGCCGAGTCAGCGGTCTATCGTCATTGCCGTCAGCCCAGCCTTGTGGGAGAGCAGCGAGCATCACCGATAAGATGGCACGCGCCATGCGGCTTTTTATTCTGCCTTTGCGTGCGGGGGTAGAGCCCGCATGCGCTGGCACGGCTTCCTCAGAAGCGTACTCTTCCAGACTCCCTGTGCTTGGGCTTGGGGTGTCTTCGGATCATGCTTGCGGTGGAGGAGGCCGGGGAAAAGATGAGCTCCAGCAGGCGGGACACATTGGACACACGATGCACGATCTCGAATCGGCAATCGCTGAACTGCTGCTTCGTGCCCGTGTGGCCATTGCCCATGGCTCTGGCTGACACCCCGGTGGCCGGATGCTCCAAGTCTCGCTGGCGGGTACGGGGAGGGGATGAGGATCAACATGAGGGATGAGTTGGAGGAGGATGGGGATGATGGGGGGCATGAGCAAGAACATGAGTGAGTATGAAGGGATGAAGAGGGGGGATACGAGGAGCAGGAAGAAGGAGGAGGATGACGACGATGATGGCGATGCTGATGCTGCTGGTGATGCTGGTGTTTCTGGTGATGATGGTGATGATGGTGATGGTGACGATGACGACGACGACGACGACGATGATGATGATGATGATGATGATGATGATGATGCTGCTGCTGCTGATGATGATGATGATGATTGTTACATGATGATGATGATGCTGATGATGCTGATGCTGATGATGATGACGATGAGGATGAGGTGGAGTCAGATGAGGAGGAGACGGACTGGGAAGACGAAGGAGCATGTCGATGAGTAAGCAAGTCCGGGTCGCGTACACATCGGGCGTGACAGCGACGAGCACCCGTGATCGGCAGCTGTCACGCCACAGCTCGGGCCGTCGAGCTGCTCATGACCACCTTCGTCGCAGCCTCGACGTGGCCCACGCTGACGTTGAACTTGCCATCCAGATGGCCAGGCAGAGACTGCACGCACTCCGTGCTGTCCATGTCCCAGAGCCGGATCGCGTCCTCAGCTTGTCCCTTGTCCTCCCCCCAACGCCTCTCCTCCCCTCGTCCTTCTTATTGTCCGAGCCCCTCCCTCCTCCTCTGCGTCCACCTCCACTTTCATCTCCTCCTCGCCATCCTCTTCCTCTTCCCTGGCTCCTCCTGTCCACTCCTTATCCTGTCCGCTCCTGCCACTCCTCCTTCTCCTCCTCCGCCTCCTCCTCCTAATGGCACCTGTGCCACTGGGTCCACTTCTCAGGTGAAAAGGCGGGTAGCCGTCCGTCTGTCATCCTGGGCTTGTCCCTGGATAAAAGATAACGGCAGTCGTAGCCCTTTCAGGTTTACGCCGCGGTGGAATGGGCTGGGCTCTGGAGTCGGTGGGCCATCTCTTCTTGGCCGATTGCTGCCCACGGGGACGATCTCGATACTTGGGGCTCGGTCACTCCTGCCGTGTGAGGTGAGAACAGCCCTGTATCGGGTGGTGGTGGCGGTGTGTGCGGCGCCTAGCACGCCGAGGTCCTGTTCGCCCCGGGCCAGTGGGCTGCAACTGCCCCAAACGGCTTGGAGGGTTAGATAACTCCGCTAAGTGGGCGGAGACCGCTCAGCCTGCCTCGCTACCACCCGCCCCTGAGCCACTTGAGGCATACGTGCCACATGTAGAAGCCAGGCCATGGCGGATCAACATAGCACACCTCGGCATCCACTTCCCAGCCCTCCCGACGCCGTGGCGCCCCCCCCCCCCCGCCGATGCCAGCAGCAGCGGCACTGCAGCAGATCTCCCTCTCGCGCCCCGTGCTGGCGGAACACCCTCTGCTCCTTTGGCCGTGGCTTAATGGGGGGGTCACACATGGGGGGGTCAGAAAAGGCCCCCTTTCGTGCCCCTTTCGGGCCCCTCGGGAGCCCCAGGGGGCTCCTTTACGTACCGTTTGGGTACCTTTTCGAACCACCCTCGCCACCCCCCCATTTATGACCCCCCCATTACGCAGCGCCCAACTCCTGCTCCCCTGGCGAGGGCCCCCAGAGGCAGAGAATCGCAAAGAGCCTTCCGTCGTGCTTTTTGTCACGACGCGAGGGGCTCTGGGTCCTCCTCATCTTCCTCCTCCTCCTCCTCCTCCTCCGCCTTTTCCTCCTCCTCCTCCTCCTCCTCATCCGCCTCTTCCCTCGCCGGGGCCCGGCGCGCCTCGCCGGGCCTCTGCCCCTCGCCGCAGGCCCGCGCTCTCGCCCTGCCCGCCCCCCTCGCCCGCGGCAGGCTCGCGTCGTGACGACCGCGGCGTTGGGTTTTTCTGCCTCCTCCTCCTCCTCCTCCTCCTCTCTTCCTCCTCCTCCTCCTCCTCCTCCTCCTCCTCCTCCTGCTCCTCCTCCTCCTCCTCCTCCTCCTGCTCTTCCTCCTCCTCCTCCTGCTCTTCCTCCTCCTCCTCCTCCTGCTCCTCCTCCGCCTCCTCCTCCTCCTCCTCCTCCTGCTCTTCCTCCTCCTCCTCCTCCTCCCCTCCTCCTCCTCCTCCTGCTCCTCCCTCCTCCTCCTCCTGCTCTTCCTCCTCCTCCTCCTCCTGCTCTTCCTCCTCCTCCTCCTCCTCCTGCTCCTCCTCCGCCTCCTCCTCCTCCTCCTCCTCCTCCTCCACCGCGTCAATCGTTCAACCCTGAGCGAGCTGCGGCTTTTCGACTGCCCGATCGTTCCATGCGGGCCGATTCCGGGCCACTGGCGGCGCTCAACCTTGAGCGCCCGCGGCGGGGTCGCCGCCGGCCGACGAGGCGCGAACCTACCCTACAGTGGAGGCCCGAGCGCAAGAAACCGAACCCTGGGACCCCAGGGCGTCCACTGATCTCTGATGTGGGAGCGTCGCGCTCTCCATCGCAGAACCATCGGAGCCCAAGAAACCCCGGGCACCCTGGAGGCAAGCAGGGCGTTTCTTGGCGTGGGTCGCCATTGTAGTTCAGCTGATGGTGCGGGTCACGAGCCAGCGAGTCATCTGGACGAGCCCGCCAAGCGCACCTCGGCGGCCAGCACAGCGGGGGACGCGAGAAGGGGCGGGCCTTCTCAGAATCCCCCGGCCTTCCGAAAAGTTTTTCAAGCCTTCACCGAAGACACGGAACACTTCTCAGAAGGGAGGGCTTCTGAGAAGTCCCGCCGCCTTCTCAGAAGGCCTTCTCCTTCTCACTCAGATGAACAACACGCGCAATAAACATACGCTTTTGGCGCTCTGCGCGGATTTCTTGGATCTGCGCTGGACCCCCCTCCCCGGCGCGCGGAGTGCGCCCAGGGGCGGCGCCGGAGGCGCCGCGAGGGGGGCGCAGCGCAGATGCAAGGACTCCGCGAGGAACGCCGAAAACTTATGCTTACGTATGGCTTTGTTTCCTCTTCGATCACTTCCCCCCCGAGGAGCGCCGAAAGCTTATGTTTGTGTCTAGCTCTCTTTCCTCTTCGATCCCTTCCCCCCCTCGCTCGCCGCCGAAATCGGCTGCCAGGGATCGGCTCCGCGGGCGCTCGCACGCCGGCGTGCCACGACGCGCCGCCGCCCCGGGAGACTCCAAGGCAGGGCTCGCGCTCGTGGCGAGGACGCCGAGCGGATGCGTGCCAGCGACCTCTCTGCCTGCGTGCCCAGACCCCCTCGGGTCAGGAAGAGATCATGTCGGAAGGTTTCTCCTTGTTTTCGGCTTCTGGGGGCCCTCACCGGGCCTCGGGACCGTGACAGAAACGACGCAGGATGAGGCACGACGGAAGGTTTTTCCTTATTTTCGGCTTCTGGGGGCCCGTACCGGGCCTCGGGACCGTGACAAAAACGACGCAGGATGAGAAACCGGTCCAGGGGAATGGGTCGAGATCTCTGGGGGTCGACGTCATCATTGGGTACCTCGCTGCGCGTCGTGCTGGCCCTTGCTCATAGCCCCGAATCAGCAGGGCTGTGGGCGGTCAGGGACAGCTGCAGATTCGCGCCTCGGGGGCCCAAACCGGACTCACCCCGGACCGCAGTTGTTCCAGGATAACTCGGGCGCCCAACCCTCCCGAATCATCAGGGCTGGGGGCGGTCCGGGATAGCTGCAGACTTCCGCCTCAGGGCCTAAACCGGACTTACCCCGGACAGCAGTTGTTCCGGGTAGCTCGGGCGTCCAACGTTACGCCGGCCGCATGGGCTGCCGCGCAAGGTATACCAACTAGCAGGACTCCGCCTCCTCAGACCTCTCGTGCCGCCGCCCAGCAGCAGCCTGCCACTGCTCGCGTGGAGCTCGAGCCCGCGGCTGGCTCTCCTTCGACGCCGATCCCGCTCCGATCGACCCGTCGCTGTGCTCTTTCTCGGCACGCGAGCTCCTGGCCGGTGCCACGGACGCTCGGCGGGCTCTCTCCACTGCGCGCGGCGCCGTCCTCTCCCCGAGTCTCCGCAGCGTGCCCGCTGCAGCCGCCACTCCTGGGATGGCAATGCCGCGCGGCCGCCACGCGTGCCAAGCTTCGCGGGGCTTCGTGTGCCGTGGACGGTGAACGTTTCCTTATTCGGCGTTTCGACACTGGGCGGAAAGGGGGGGGGCGGAAGGAGGGGGGGGGTCTGGCTCCAGACCTCTGCTTAGCGCGACTGTTTGCAACAGTGCGTCCTGGGGGGGGCAAGACTCCACCTGCTTGAAACAGGCGCCAACAAAAACAACCAAGATCTACGTACACCATGGCGGGGGGGGGCAGGGGAAGGGGGGCGAGGGCCCGCGCCGATCGGCAAAACAATGAATAAGACAACGACGAAATGTTGGGTCCAGCGCGCACCGCCCGACGAGCACAGCAGTCGGTCTCCTCGGCTCGCTCGTCGTGCCAGAACCGTGCCTTGCCTGCTGTCCTGCCCTAGCAGTGCCTTGTCGGTATCACGGCTCTCGGCGTCCTATGCCGTCTCTCCTCCTCCTCCTCCTCCTCCTCCTCCTCCTCCTCTTTCTCCTCCTCCTCCTCCTCCTCCTCTTTCTCCTCCTCCTCCTCCTCCTCCTTCCCTCCCTCCCTCCCTCCCTCCCTCCTTCCCTCCCTCCCTGTCGTGAGTCGCCCCCGTCTCTGTCAGTTCCTCTTGACTCGGGCCTCCCTCCTCGCTCGTCCTGGCCAGCCCCGGCCGCCTCAGCCGCTCTCGGTGCGCGCCCCCTGTGCCGCCGCGGCGCAGCGCAGGTCTTCCGGGCCTCCTCGCCGTGGGTCGCCCCCGCCCTCCCCCGCTGCTTCTGCGGCACTCCTCGGCCCCTGGCTCTCCCTTGGTGTGTGTGTGTGTGTGTGTCTGTGTGTGTGTGTGTGTGTGTCTGTGTGTGTGTGTGTGTGTGTGTGTGTCTGTGTGTCTGTGTGTGTGTGTCTGTGTGTGTGTGTTTGCAGGCGGCGCTCTCCGCACCGCTCTGCCCCAGGGCCGCTCCGCCCACGGAGTCTCTCGGCTCCCGTTTTTCAGAGCTCCGGCACGTGCGCTGGAACGGATGCGCTCCGCCCCGGCCCCTCTTCGCCTCTGCTGCCCCTCTTGGCCTGGCGCTGGCGCTGGCCCGTCGATCGTTCGAGCCTCCCTCGCCTTTCAGTGGCAGCACTCTTTTTCGGCAGCTCTGTTTCGCTACATGGTTGAAGGCAAGCGATTTGGATGAGATGTATCCGCCGCGCCGCAGCCTCTGTCTGTCTGCGAGCACTGTGATGGATCACAGCTTCATGCTCATGTCACGGTTCGACGACTCTTCCTCCCCAGCCCTCCCACACCTCCCTCCTCCTTCTTCTCCACCTCCTTCCCCTCCTCCCTCTCCTCAATGGGGGGGGGCGGGCGCTGGCCTGGGGGCAGGCTCCCTTACGTATGCTCCTCTCAACTACGGTGCTGGAATTAGCCCGTGTGTGAGAGGCCAGCGGCTGGCCACGTTCTGTCGGCCTGGGACGGCTCGGATGGCAGTGCATGGCCGCGTATGCTTGTATGCCTCATGGTCACCCGTTTGATCACAATCAGCGATGCTCCTCCTCCTCCTCCTCGCCCTCCCCTTCCCCTTCCACTTCCCCTCCCCCTCCCCCTCCCCCTTCCCTCCTCCTTCTTATTCTTCTTGTTCTTCTCCTCCTCCTCCGCCTCCTCCCTCTCCTCCTGCTGCTCCTCCCGTTCCTGCTTCTCCCCCTCCTTCCTCTCCTCCTCCTGCTCCTGCTGCTCTTCCTCCTCCTCCTCCTCCTCCTCCTCCTCCTCCTCCTTCTCTTCTTCCTTCTCCTGCTCCTCCTGCTCCTCCTGCTCCTCCTCCTCCTCCTCTTCCTCCTCCTCCTCCTCCCCATTACCCCCCCTGCCTACTTTTTCCCTCCTCCCCCCTCTCTTTTTTCAATCTTCCCTCCATCCCTCCCCTGTTTCGAGGGGCAGCGGGAGGGGGGACGTGCAAAGGGTGGCAGACATCGAGCTTAGCTCGGGATGCGTCGCAGATAGATCGGCGATGTGCCCCCCGATTGCGAATCCGCACTTTCCTGTCACCTGAGCTTATCCCTCCCCCTGACGCTGCCCCTCGTTCTCGGGTCATAACTCGGCTCTCCGGCGGCCGCTCGGGACGATCTGGACAACCCTGGAGCGCCCTCGGTGAGGCGCAGCTGCTGGAGAGCATCCCGAGGCAGGAACACCGCCGAGGACCGACGACACCGTACGACAGTCTCCCCATAAAGGCGCCCGGGAACCTCCCTCCCTGACGTTGCCACTCAACCTGACGCGTGTGTGTGTGTGTGTGTGTGTGTGTGTGTTGTGTTGTGTTGTGTTGTGTTGTGTTGTGTTGTGCTGTGCTGTGCTGTGCTGTGCTGTGCTGTGCTGTGTTGTGTTGTGTTGTGTTGTGTTGTGTTGTGTTGTTGGTCGTGTTGTGCTGTCCTGTGTCGTGGTGTGGTGCGTGTGCTATGGGCGTCTGTGTGCTGCAGGAAACCCGTGCATGCTGTCTTCCTCCCGTGCCCTGTGCAGGACTGGCCCTGTGTGGCCGTGCGGGATCTGCTCTGCTCTGCTCAGCCTGTCCTCCCCCCAGCGTGGCCCCTGCTGAGTCCCCCCTCGGCCTCCGATCCAGGTGGCGCGGGACAGGGGCAGGCAGCGGGTATGAGGAACAGCACGAGGAGGAGGCGGAGGGGGAGGGGGAGGAGGAGGAGGAGGAGGAGGAGGAGGAGGAGGAGGAGGAGGAGGAGGAGGAGGAGGAGAGGAGGAGTAGGAGGAGGAGGAGGTAGGAGAGGAGTAGGAGGAGGCGGAGGAGGATGAGGAGGAGAAGGCGGAGAAGGAGGAGGAGGAAGAGAGGAGGAGGAGGAGGAGGAGGAGGAGGAGGAGGAGGAGGAGAGGAGGAGGAGGAGGAGGGGGGGCGCGAAGGTCGGCCGCCCGGGCCCCGACCGCTGGAGGCTCTCTCCGGACCCGGGCGGCGCCTGGGGGGTGGGGGAGCCGCCCACGCTCCCGAGCCGGGCAGACGCCCTCGCCACCCTCGTTCCGCCCTCTCGTCCCCTGCTTCTTCGGGTCCTCCTCCTTCTCTGCCTCCTCCTTCCGCCTGCTCCTCCTCCTCCTCCGGGTCCTCCTCCTGCTCTGTCTCCTCCTTCCGCCAGCTCCTCCTCCTCCTCCTCCTCCTCCTCCTTCTCCTCCGCCTGCTCCTCCTCCTGCTCCTCCTCCTCATCCTCTGCTTGCCTCCTCTTGCCCTCCCCCATCCATCTCTGCTCCTGCCCGCTCCTCCTCGTACTTGCGTGCAGTCCGATCCTTCTCGTCCTGCCTCCACCTCCTCCATCTCCTCCTGCTCCTGCCCTCATCCCCCCTTTTCCTCTCGCCTCCCTCCTTACCCTTCTGCTTTCCCGCTTTCTCCTCCTCCGCCGCCTCCCTGGCATTCCTCCTCCCTTCCTCCTCCTCCTCCTCCTCCTCCTCCTCCTCCTCCTCCTCCTTATTATCATTTATTTCCCCTGCCTACTTCTTCCCTCCTCCTCCCCCCTTCGCCGTCGGAGTCCGACCCTCTCCCCATGCTCCTGCTCCTGTCCTCCTCCTCCTCCTCCTCCTCCTCCTCCTCCTCCCCATCCCTCTCTCCTGCTCCCTCCCCATCCCTCTCTCCTGCTCCTCCGCCTCCCTTTCCTCCGCCTGGCCTCTCATCGCCCCCTCCCTCCTTGGGGTCGACGGCGACGCCGACGGCGACGACGCCGAGGGCTCACCGAGCCCGGCGCCTTGCAGGCCGTCAGGAGCTGTCGCAGGGCCCAGTCGACGGACAGCGAGGTCACGGCCTCCCCGTGAGCGAAGGAGCGGAGGCAGGCCCCGGTGAGCGCGTCCCACAGCTTCACGCACCTGCCGCCGCCGACAGCAGTATCGGGGAACGAACATTGGCACAAACATGCAAAAACTCGGAGGTCCGCGCGGATCTCTCGGGTCCGTGCTGGACCCCCCTCCCTGGCGCGCGGAGCGCGCCAGGCGGTGCCGGAGGCGGAGCGCGCCACGGAGGGGGGTCCAGCGCCGATCCGAGAAATCAGCGCGGACCTCAGAGTTTTTATGTTTATGTCATTCTTCGTTCCCATACATTGGGAGGCAAGTGCTGGGAGGTCTTCGTCGGACGGAGTAGAGGGAGGCTTGCAGACCCCGTGGGGGCTGCCACGCCAGATCAGGCCGCGGACGTTAGCGGGACTGAGCCGGATGAAGCAGGATCTAGCCGTATGGCGCGGGACTGCACCGCACTTCGGACCATGGCAAAATCATGATTTTTAACCTCCCAGGAGCTGCATCCGAACGGCAGGATGAGGGTAAAGGGCGGTGCGCGGGGGGAGGAGGACGAGGCAGGCGAGGAGGGGGAAGCTGGGCCCCAGGGAGCGCGCGTCCCGCAGCCTGAGGCAACTGCCGCCGCCGACAGGATGAGGAGATGAGGCGACGAGCGGGGGGAGGAGGAACGCGGCAGGCGCGGACGGGGGAGGAGGCGATGGAGGGGACATGGGCAGTGAGGATGGATGGATGGATGGATGGATGGATGGGTGTATACTGCTGCTGATGGTAATATGGTGATGGCGATGGTGATGGTGATGGTGGCGGTGGTGGTGATAATGATGACGACGACGATGACGATGATGACGATGGCGATGACGATGATGATGATGGTGATGATGATGACAATGATGATGATGATGACGATGATGATGATGCTGCTGATGATGATGATGATGATGATGAGGATGAGGATGATGCCTACCATGCTGATGCTGTTGGTGATGCTGCTGCTGATGATGATGATGAGGATGAGGATGATGATGATGATGATGATGATGATGATGATGATGATGATGATGATGACGACGACGATGAGGCTGCCGCTGCCAAGAACGATGATGATGCTGATGCTGATGCTGCTTATGATGCTGATTCTGACGATGATGCTGATGATACTGATACTGACGATGCTGATGAGGATGATGCTGAGGATGCCGATGTTGATGTTGATGTCCATGATGATGCTGATGATGGTACTGATGATGCTGATTCTAATGATGATAATAATGACGACGACGAATATGGTGATGATGATGATGCTGATGTTGCTGCTGATGTTGATGATACTGCTGCTGCTGATGATGATGCTGATGACGACGCTGCTGCTGCTGCGGATGATGATGCTGATGATGCTGAGTATGATGATGCTGCTGCTGATGATGATGAGGTTGGGGATCATGATGATGATGATGATGATGATGATGATGATGATGATGATGATGGTGATGCTGATGATGATGATGATGATGCTGCTGCTGATGAGTATGATGATGTTGATGTTGTTGTTGATGATGATGATGATCCCGAATGTGGAGGGGGAGCAGGACGAATGAGGAGGATTATGGTGAGCAGGCAGTGGCAGAGACGCACCAGGACGAGATGGGGACGTGCTTGCCTTGCAGGGCAGATGCAGTGGATGAGGAGGACTGCGGAGAGGATGATTCAAGGAAGATGAGGGGGGGGAAGGAGGTATCCTCCTCCTTCTACTTCCTGCTGCTGCTCCTCCTCCTCCTCCTCCTTCTCCTCCTCCTCTTCCGACCTCCGCCGACGTTGTAAGCAATCCTAGACCGACCGCGCTGCGCCGCTCGCTCCAGGGCGCCTCCTGCAAACTGGGAGATCTCCTGCCACCGCCAGAGTGCACGAAGACGTTCTGCCACCATCCAGGTGATCGTTTTTTCCCAACCATCCTGTGGTGTTGGGTCCTCGTTTTGAAGAGACGGTGCCCCGAGTTCCCACCAGTTCCCACCTCCTCCTCCCTCCTCCCCCTCCTCCCTCCTCCCTCCTCCCCCTCCTTGCCTTTGCTCTCGGCACACCTCTCACACGCTTCGTAGCCCCATAGGGAGCTCCACCGAAGGTCCCAGTGGGGGGGGGGCGCATGCGTCCGCCACACCCAGCGCAGCGTTTCGTGGCCCCATAGGGAGCTCCACCGAAGGCCCCAGTGGTGGGGGGGGGCGCATGCGTCCGCCACACCCAGCACAGCGTTTCGTGGCCTATAGGGAGCTCCGCCGAAGGTCCCAGTGTGGGGGGGGCGCATGCGTCCGCCACACCCAGCACGGCGCTTCGTAGCCCCATAGGGAGCTCCACCGAAGGTCCAAGTGGGGGGGGGCGCATGCGTCCGCCACACCCAGCACAGCGTTTCGTGGCCCCATAGGGAGCTCCACCGAAGGTCCCAGTGTGGGGGGGGCGCATGCGTCCGCCTCACCCAGCACGGCGTTTCGTAGCCCCATAGGGAGCTCCACCGAAGGCCCCAATGGAGGGGGGCGCATGCGTCCGCCACACCCAGCACGGCGTTTGGTGGCCCCATAGGGAGCTCCACCGAAGGCCCCAGTGGTGGTGGGGGGGGGCCCATGCGTCCGCCACGCCCAGCACAGCGTTTCGTGGACCCAAAGGGAGCTCCACCGAATGCGTTGCTCACAAAGACGGTACTCACAACTGCATATGGTTGGGTCCTTCGCCAGGCGAATTTATCCAAAAGACCCAACGTCTTGACAAAAATCAAGACGGAGGTTTTTCGCCGTTTTCGGCCTCTAGGGGCCCTCAGCGGGCCCGGGACCGTGAAAAACGACTCAGGGCGAAAGACCGGTCCTGGGGAATGGGTCGAGCCTTCCGGAGACCGCGCATTGAAAAAATCACGACACCGGATCTCTGGGAAGGTGATCGCTTTTTGTTCGGCGCTTCGACCTTGGGGGGGAGGGGGGGGGCTGGCTCTGGACCTCTGCTCAGTGCGACTGTTTGGAACAGTGCGGCCGACGGGGGAGGCACCCCACCTGCTCGAGGCAGGCGCCAAAAGCAGCCGAGACCTATTCCACGGGGGGGGGTGCGAGGGCCGGCGCCGATCGGCAAAACACGGAATAACAAGTCACCCACCAGAAGGCAATCTGCACAGCACATCCGCCCCGGGTGTGCCCCGCGGAGGCACGGCACAGGGCATCGGCCTCCGCGTCTCGGCCCAGCTGCCGCCGCACGGCCGGGAGCGCCCTCGGGCCCGCTCGGGGCATCCGAGGGCCTCCCCGCGGAGGAGCGCAAGAGACGGCCAGCGAGGCTCTTCCGCTTCACTGCGGTCGGGAGCACTGCTGCGTGGCGCGTCGCCGCGGCGGCCCGGGCGGCAAGCCATGCCCTGCGAGCGGCTCGCGTGCCGCTCCGCTCCGCGGGGCGGGAGGCGGGGAGCCGTCCGGGACGCCGGCGCTGGGGGACCGGGGCGTGGACAGCGGGTGGCGCCGAGGCGTGGTGGGCCAGAGCTGGCGGAGCGACGCACCATCCAAAAGATTTCGACAGTATGCCATTCCACTTCGCGCGTCTTGCCCGGCGATGTCCGACGCGCTGCTCTCTTCGCGCCCTCGCGCCGCCGCCCCGGAGAGCGCGCGAGGCGCGATGGACCTTCGCGCCTCCGGGGGCGGCCGTGCAGCACGTCGTCCCAAGCTGTCCTCCGAGGGCGGAGGGGACTCTTCTGGCAGGCGCGCGGGCGAGGGCTCGAGATCGCCGAGGGCGCATCCGGGGGCGACCGAATTGCAGCACGTCGTCCCGAGCTGTCCTCCGAAGGCGGAGGGGAGACTCCTCCGGCAGGCGCGTGGGCGAGAGCTCGAGATCGCCGAGGGCGCATACAGGGAGGCACGGGGGAGGCGAGGTGGGAACGTGCCTGGGGCAGGAGAGGACGAGGGGTGCGGGGCCGCAGGGGGCGACAGCTCCGCGAGGGGGGGAGCGCGGCCTGCTCACCCACACCGCGCGCCCACTGACACACTCGGCTGCGCCGGGCCTGACGAGCCAGCGTCTGCGGGCCCGCGGCGGCCGTGCGGCCCTCGGCCTGCCGACTCCCTGGCTGTCACGCTCGACCACGGCTCGATCGGGCGCAGCCCCTCTGCGGACCACCGCGGCTCGACCCTTTTTATGTTATCATTATTATCAGTATAATAATAATAATAATAATTATTATTATTATTATTATTATTATTATTATTATTATTATAATAATAATAATAATAATAATTATTATTATTATTATTATTATTATTATTTATTATTATTATTATTATCTTTATCATTTTTAATATTATTATTATTATTACTACTACTATTATCATTATAATGATTATTATTATTATTATTATTATTATTATTATTATTATTATTATTATTATTATTTATTATTATTATTATTATTATTTTTTCTTCGTCGGCGGCGAGGCAGTGCTGGCTGCACCGCACCAGCGGAAGAGCTGGACGCGGGCGCCGAAGAGAGCGGATCGGCCAGCGTGCGAGAGGGGTAAGAGCGGGGAGGCAGGGCGGCCGCGGAAGGGGGGGGGGGGGAAGCCGAGGCCACTCGGGGGCGGACGGGTCGGCTCGTCCCAGGCATGCTCTGGCTGCCGCGCTTCCCTGCCAGCAGCGCCGAGTTGGTCCGCCCTGCCACACCGATCTGCACGGCGACCGGCTCCGTCGAGGCAGGTGTCAGGCGCGGCACACCCGATCGGCAACGTCGGCCTCAGTCTGTCTCCAAGCCACGGGCCTCTGAGAGAGGGCGTCCTTCCACCGCGGAACATGCTCACCAAACGAAGCTTTCCCATGCGGTGGTTGTGGCCAAAGTCGACGGTAGAGGCAGAGCTGATCGTCAGGATGCGCGATAAGGATGCAAGAGCAGTGGAAGGCCGCGCCGACACTTTTCGAGTCGGGCGCGGCCAACGCAAGCGGCCAAGGATGGGCCGAAGGGCCAGGACGCAAAGGGTACCCTTGGGGAAGGTTGCCCATTCTTACCATCAGTATCGACGGTGTGCACCCCATCCCATCCACGCCTCGACGCCCCAAAAGGACGCAGAGTGGCGAGCCTCGTGCTGACCCCGCCTCGTCGCGCCTGGTCCGTGAGCAGGCAGGGCCCAACGAGGAAGTCCGGGCTGGCCCGCCGACGACCGCGAGGACGAGGAACCGGAGCAGGACAGACTCAGGAGAGGAAGGAACTGTTTTTGGCTCGGTACGCGCGGCCCTCCAGGACTCTGCCACCACCTGGAAGATGCCCTGCTCGACATTTTTTTAGTGCTCCGTGGCATACTGGCCCAGGCGCTCAGCCGAGCAATGCAACTTCCAGGTTGTGGCAGAGTCCTGGAGGGACACGCGTGCCAAGCTGATAACAGTTCATTCCTCACCTGACGAGGAAGAACCCAGCGGTGTCTGTCGTGAGATGACGAAGCATGACGAGGCCGACAAAGGGTGATGAAGCGGAGTGAAGGAATGAATGCTCGTGAAGACCCCTGAAATTCGGCCAGGCAAGCAGCGCTGGCCCCGTGGCTCAACTCAGGACTCTGAGGACGTGCCCTCCGCAAGCGCCGAGGTTACTGCGCGGTCCTCCACCGCGCTCTGCACCAGGCAGCATAGGCCAGGCCCGCACTCCAGCGCGCACACCAGGGCCGCCCAGCGCGCGCCCGCGGGGTGGGCGGCTCGGGCCGCCCGGCGCGCCCAGGACGAGGCACGGACGCGGAGATGCACCATGCCGCCCAGCGCGCAGGTGGCCAGGCCCGCGCGCGGCGGGCTCGGAGAGGCGGGCTCGCGCGAGGCGGCGGCGGCGGGCCTCCCCCCCCCCCTCCCCTCCCCTCCCCTCCCCTCCCCTCCGCGCGGCGATCGAGCCTCCGCCGCCCGAGCCCTTCCGCTCTAAGACCTACCTACCCCCCCCCCCTGGGCGCCTGTCGTGCGAGCCGCTGACGGCCTGCCCGCACTGGCCGCACAGGGCCACCTCGGCGCTGCGGGGCGCCGCCGCCGGGCCGCAGGCCACGGGGCGGCTCCCGCTGCCGCCGCCGCCGCGGCCGCCGGCGTCGGCCTCCTCCTCCTCTTCCTCCGCCCCTCCTCCTCCTCCTCCTCCTCCTCCTCCTCCTCCTCCTCCGCCTCCCTCCTCCTCCTCCTCCTCCCCTCCTCCCTCCTCCTCCCCTCCTCCTCCTCCTCCTCTCCTCCTCCTCCTGCTCCTCCTCCTCCTCCTCCTCCTCCTCCTCCTCCTCCTCCTCCTCCTCCTCCCCCTCCCCCCAGGGGCCGTCTTCGGGCCCCGGGGCCATCCGAAATGGGTCACGGGTCCAGGGGAGGCGGCGGGGCAGACGGTGGGAGGGGGAGGGATGCATCCCCGAGGCCCTTGTTAGACCCCACGAGCCGTGCTCCCGCAGTCCATGGGCACCCTGGGAAGCACATTCTCGATGAGGCAAACCCATGCTCCCAGGGTCACGGACGGCACGATGCCAAGCGAATAAATAACAGCAGCATATCCACGTTCCGAAGGCTACGAGCCCTGGTAAACAACATAAATATGCGCCCCCTGGTAGTTATCAATCTGCCCGCGGTCTCAAATCTACGGCCCCTATTCATATGTTGTCGGCAAGCGCTCCAAAGGCCACGCCTCTTATAGCAGATTTAGAGGCCAGCGAGACTCGTAAACTATATTTCGGGCACAAAGGGCGTTTCTGCAGACGCCCGTGTGCGCAATAACAGACGCGGGGCTTGTTGGGCAACTCGCGGGGCCTTCTGCACCGTTGTCGGGCATTCCAAAATGTCTGAAAGCTCTCCCAAGGGCCGTTCGGGAAAGAAATTAATGGGAGGCGGGGGTATTGAACACTTGATGATGAGCGCGAGGTGAAGGTAAGGAGTGCGGAGGAGGATCAGGTGGATGGCGGTGAGGATGCGTACGAGTATGAGTACACGTGGAGACGTGGAAGAGAAGGGGAAGGATCAACGCACTAAGGAAGATGGCGATGAGGAGGACAAGCGGAGTCGGCAATGATGGGGGATAATAATGTGAAGTGAATAGCGAAGCGGATGATAGTGATGATTTTGATGGTGATGGTCCTGATGCTGATGGTGTTGATGATGAGGAGGAGCAGGAGCGAACGTCCCTTTGCGGACGCTTGTGTCCCAGACTACGCAGCGCGCCGCCCCGCGCCGCCCACGAGACAACGAGTCAACCTAAATGAGCGGCGGGCGGTTGCGACAACCGCGATGCTCTTGCTGTAAGTGGCGCGGGGCAGGAGGATGGAGTTGGAGATCTGGATGGAGCTTGGGATGCTGTTGCGCTGGAAGTTGTATGTGTTGAGAGCAACTGCCACTCTTGCCACCGCATGGTCGATGTTGCTCTCGCCGTCTCTGGTTTAGCCCGCCAGGCCCATGCGCGTCAGAGTGGACGAGACGGTGTCGCGAGGCTGGCGCGTGCGGATCCACAGCCGCGGCAGGTCAGGTAGTGCGAGATGTCGTCGGTGTTATTGAATGCTTTTCGGTCTTCGTGCAGCCGAAGAGGCATGTGTGCTTCGCGGGGCTGGTGTACATCCAGTAGCTGGTGGTCCACGCGCCCGTGAGGGTCTTGCGGGTGGGCCAGTTCCTGGACGGCGGCGTTTCCCGAGAGGGGTGGGACTTCAGGACGGCCCACTCGGCGGCGATCGAGGATGGCCATTCCAGGATGTAGAGCAGGTCCACGCGCTGTTCATCATCGGCTTCAAGTCCATCTGCATGCGGGCCGACGTCAGATGCGGGAGGCTCGTTCTTGATCCAGGGGGCGCGCGCGGAGGTCGGCAACTTCGGCGTCGCGTTGGCGAAGGGCGGCCGAGGACAAATGGGTCGCGTTGTGCACCAACCAAGAGGCGGCGCTTGCGCCTAAACTCGATGTCGTCCTACGCGCCGCAGATGTCTCGTGCGTCGTGGTTGCGTCGGCGTTCGGGGTGCGGCGTGTCTCCGAAGATCACGTCGAACTGCGGTCTGCGCAGGGGGGCGGAGACGCAGGAAACGCACCAAGCCATCCAATTCTGGTTGTCGATCATGCCGTCGGTGAGTGCGCCGGGCAGCTGAGCTGCGCGCACCCGAGCGCGCTCGTCCAGAAACTCGATGGACACTAGAGTGTGTTGGAGAACATCGTCAAGGTCTTCGCCTCGATCTTGCGCTGGGAGATGTCGCCATTGTTCGGGCTGCAAGTGAAGCCGACGCTCGGGAACCGGACCCTGAGGCGCCTGGAGATCGTCTTGTCGAAGTTGTCGAAGAACAGGGGCCGCCGGAGCTCTGAGAGATGTCTGCTGCAAAGATTTGGTTGCTTTGCCTTTGCCACTTCCTTGGCCCATGTGAACGGCGCCTCTTAGCGTCGGCTTGGCGATGCGCTGCCCCGAGTGAGTTTTCAGCGCGAAGGGTCGGTCCCTGCGCGCTTGGAGATCTTGAAGATGGAGCCCTTGCACTTCGGGTAGAACGGGCTGTTGATCGCGAGCTCGCAGAGCTGGGCGATCGAGAGCCTGTCGCCCCTGCGGTCGGCGCGCTAGTGTCTCGCCTCAATCAGGACAATGGGCAGCGCGTCCTCCGCGGCTGCTCGGCGTGGTTGCAGAGATGCCCTCCGCGTGGTAATCTTAGTTGTAGCTGCCCAACAGCACGTGGCTGAGAGTAATGTTTCAAGCCGCCCCGCGGCATGTCCACTCCAGACCAGCCCTTGCGCGAGAAGGTATAATTTTTGTGCAGCCCAACGGGGCCGCTCGGAACCCTGGCGATGGCGGGCGTTGTTGCCCAATGCGTGCGGGGCATGTGTTGGCGGCGACGCAGTGCGATCCCGCCATTTGGCGGAAGGCAATCTCCATTGCGTCGTTAGCGAAGCGCCTGGTCCGATGAAGGCGCCCAAGTATCGCGCGTAGCTCTGGACTCTGAAATCGTGCCACTGCAGGTGAATCGTGTCGAGGATGTGCTGATTCAGCCCGGTGAGCTGTGGCGTTGGCAACGACCAAGTGGGCGTGATGGTGCACTTCTTGGGCTGCTGCAGCAGAAGTCCCGCAAAGCACCGCGCCGTTTGAAGACGAGGGGGGAGCTTTTCTATGTCGCGCAGCGCCGCCGGGGCGATGCCCAGGTCGTCGACGCATGCGCTGATGAGTCCACGGCCGGGCCTGTCGAGCACGCTCTTGATGCCCTTGGCGATCGGGTCGGACATGAATGCCCACTGCGTGCCGCTGAGCGGGCGCCCGTGCGCAACGCCCGATGCCGCCGAGGGCAGGGGTCTGCGGGCGCCGTCCAGCTCGAGAAAGGCGATGGGCATGCGGCAGAAGCCCGGAGGGGAATCAGCATCGGTCCATGGACGCCCCATCCAGACAGCGCCTCCCGGAGTCAGTCGTGCAGGGGGCGGCGGGAGGTGGCTGCGATGTCCATGCTTTCGAAGCAGGGCAGGGAAATGCCAGCGTCGTCGTTGATGCTAAGCTGGCGGGCCAGGGGTCGACGGTGACGATGCCGCTCAGGAGCGGCCTGCCAGGTGCGAAGCCATGCTGCTCGATGTGTGTCGTGCGCATGTCGTTGTGGAATTTGCGGTTGGCTGCGGGTGCGATAACACTAATGTCGGAATTGTCCGTGGCCAGCGGGCGGAGGCAGCCGTGCTCTCTGGTGCGCTAGAAGTTGCCCGGCGGCTCGTCGCCCCTCGGGGGCATGGCCGTGGGCGAGAAGTTCAGGCCGTGGGGGATCGGGCCACCGTGCGCGATTGAGAAGGCGAGGTCGGCAACTGCTTCGATGCTGCCAGGGGGTTGAGCCGGGCGCGGTAGGGGGGGCCGTCAGGCCCGGGCGCCGAGTCGCCTGCCTCTCGGACAGCATGGAGAAGCTCTTGAGGTCCAGGAAATTGTAGAGGGAGTGGAGGGCGGCGAGGAAACGCGCCGTCCAGGCAGTGCTTCACGCTGGGAATGTCGACGGGCGTGGCGGCGAAGACCTTGCCCCAATGCAGCTGTTCAGCGCCAGCCGCTGCGCTGTTTGCCGGCGGCCTCGCATGGCGAACGTCTTGGTGCCGCGCGCTGCGGGCCGCGCTGCGGGGCGCCCCCCCCTCGCGCTTCTTCGTCGATGGTCGCTTCGTTGTCGAGGGCCTCAGACGAGGGGATCTAGGAGATGGCGTCGCGAACCTTCTGCGATGCAGACGTTGCGATCTGCTTCGCGGCCCGCCGCCTGGCGACGGGGCCCATCGCGTCGAAGCCGAAACAGTTCAGGGCGCGCATGTGGGACATCTTGTAGCGGTAGGAAACGGAGGTGAATGCGGGAACGCCTCGTTCAACGTGCGGCTTCTGGGCCCTTGGTCGAAGTCGAAGGCGTGGAACTGTGCGATCGCCAGCAGGTTCGCCCAGGCGCTCCAGGGGGCGGCTGTCGCAGATGGTCAGCCTCGAGGTGTGGGGAATGGAGCGCATTGGCGGAGATGAAGCAGCGGTCGATGGTGGCCTCGGCGTCGTTGGCAGAACGGCGGTGCGTAATCGAGCGTGTAATAATTTCCGCGACGGTGCTGAAGATCGTTTCCAATGTGGTCTGATGTCGGCGCGGGGTCGCCGCGCTGGCGTCGGCTGGCCCTTGCGTGCCCTTCGGCGGCAGCTCGGGGATATATTGAAAACCCTGGTGGGTGCTAGATCATTCAAGGTCGGACTCGGCGCCGCCCGCTGTCGCGCAACTTGCCGCGCCGCTGCGCTCTCGACTCTATCCGCGCCCGAGTATTCGCGGCTGTGCGCGTTGAAAATCATCGACTCGAGTTGGCGGGCGGGCTTCTTGATGCAGATGTCGGCGAAGCGGCTGGGGGCGATCTCGAAGAAGTCACGAAGTGGGCGCTGGTGAGCAGGAGACTGTAGTTTGTTACGGTCGCAGGTCGCATGGGGTCAGGAAAACGACGCCCGCCGCCCGATGCGTCGGAATTGACGTCGACTGCGGGGTGGAAGGACATGTAGTGAAAAAGGTGAAGGCTCGGCGAACATCTGAGGGCCGGCCTCGTTGCCGTGCGTCTCGTGAATAGCGACGGCTGCTATCTGGCACATGTGCGGAACGAACATCGCCCTCTTCGCATCGCGTCTGGGACGTGACCGTCCGGGTGGTGTTTGTGAGTTGCACGACGCGATGCCCAGCTCGCCCTTGGAAGGGCGCGAGAACCGTGGGGGCCATCGATCGTCGCGGCCACGACGCTGTAGCCCCTGGCTCTGTGAAGGCGCCGGCAAGCTGAGTTGTTCTTCACCTTCAATACCAACGGGTTCAGCAGCGTCAGATCAACGATCTTTGGGCGCCGCCTCGTGGGTGGATGCGCCAGTGGCGACGCAAACAATGGGCATGCCGTTGAGAGACAGGTGCGCTTCAGTGCGGTGACTTCTCGGCAGCACGCGCTGGACTTTGGCGGCGGTGAGCTTGCTGAGCACGAGACATGCGTGTGGGCTTGTCGGTAGATGCGCATCATGATTGTTGGCTTTCATGTGCTTCGGTCGGCGCAGAATGAACGCCAGCCCGCGCCCATGCGGAGCGCCTTGCGTAACCCATGCGCACGAGGAAGAGCAGCAAGGTCGCGGCCTGCTGGGGTGAAGGAGACGCGTTTGCCAGGGCCGTCGGCGTTGAGTGTGATGGCGTTGATGTCGACATTGGCAGCGGTAGCCAGGGCAGAAGCGAGGTCTTGAGAGCGGCGCCGTTGAATTCTGCTGAGGCGCCGCACCAAGACGTACCCACATCAGGTTGCCGATCCCAGTAGCCGGTGTCATCGATCTTGATGGGCGGGTGCAAGGCTTCGGCGGCGGCGGGCGTGCACCTGATGTCGGCGGCGGCTGCTTCCCGGGACTGGTTGAGGGCTTCTGCTTTGTCGGCGCGGAGCTTAATGTCCGTTATGTCCCGTTCAGCTCGTTCTCTGCCCCGTAAGCTCAGCGGCAGCATTGGCGATGGTAGCGAGGATGTGAACTTGAATTTTGGCGCAACCGTTCTTGGCGGTCTCGGCGAATGCAGACGGTGCAACGTCCACTTGCCTTTGTAGCAATTATTGCAAATATTCTTCGATGATGGGCTGGCATCGGACTTGTGGAAATTTTGACACAGCCTGCCGCCCATGGGTCTTGTTCAGCGTTTGGGCCTCGATCTCCCATGAGTCCTCGGCTGGGAGCGGGCTGGAATGATATGCAAGGCCACCGCAGGCGGATACCGAGGCACGCGATATGGAGCTCAACCACGCGGGCGCGAGGAGGGGGAAAACAGCGGTCCAAAACTGTCCCTGTGCCGATTGTCTTCGCAAGTTGCCACGGGCAACGAACATCTCGAATCCAAATGGCTACGGATGATGATGATGATGTCTATGACCATGGTAATGATGATGCTGAGGATGATGATGAGGATGGTGCTGGTGCTGGTGCTGATGATGATGATGATGATGAAGATGATGATGATGATGGGGACGAGGAAAAGGACGAGGAGCAGGAATAGGAGGATGAACGTGAGGAGATTGCACCACGACTGCCAGAAAATACTCTCGATGATTTTCGCAAGTTAGTCTTTGAGACACAGCGCGGACGTCCAACAGCAGAGCGACCGGATAACCGCGCCGAGGTCCCAAGCGGCAAGGTCGACATAGAACCGCCGTGCGAGAAATATGCGAACACGCTGTGGCTACGGCCACGTGCAGCCCGCACCCAAGCCCCAACCGCAGTCCAAGCCGCGAGAGCCACCTCCGCCACGACCCATATGAAGGGGCCCTGAGACACACAAATAAATACACACAAATAAAAGGATTTCCCTTTTCCCATATTTTCTGGGTTTTTGTCTTCCCCCAACTTCCCATATTTTCCAATATTTTCGGGGGAACCGACGTTTTTTTTTTTTTTTTTTTTTTTTTTTTTTTTTTTTTTTTTTTTTTTTTTTTTTTTTTTTTTTTTTTTTTTTTTTTTTTTTTTTTTTTTCCGACCCATAGGAGGACAACGGAAGGTGATCCTTCACCATTGCAGCGGACCAACAAGGCAGGGTGACCTACACTCATCGTGCTACCATCAGGGACACATAGCAATGAGCGAAAAGGGATTTTCTGACCACGGCGGGCGTTGGCCACAAACAGGTGTCACGACATGAACCCAAGGAGCGACCCGAAAACCTGAGTCTTTCCTGAGCTCGAAGCGGTCCTCATCTCTGCGTGTTGCCTGTATGATCCTTGCGTCTGCTTGCAATGAACCAGACGCCCGCAAAGGCACCACCACTACGACCGCAGCGCCTCCGAGCCACCGCGCGAGCTGCCAGGTGATCTTGCTTGCAGTGACCCTTGGGGTTGCACACTGGTGGGTGGAACACTCTATTTCGAGAGCGGCCACACTGGAAGATCCTCAGGCAATCCCTGGATGCCGAATGTGTGGAGGCTGCTTCATCACGAAGTCCCCGACGGAGGATGCGGAACGCCAGCTCGCCCGTGGCCGCCAAGTACCTCGATCGCGTCGTGGTTGTCGGGATCGCATGCAGCGCCCACACGTCCGCAAGGGCGCCGCGAGTTCGACCAGACCGACTTTGCATGACAGCGCGAATTGTCAGGGAACAGTCCAAAGGAATCCAAGATGCGCTGGAGGCTTGCTTGCAGTCCTCCCCGGCCTTGTCTGCAGCAGCCCACAGGCCTCAAAGTTGACCGCCGCTCTGACTGGACCGACCCCGCGCGGCCGCGCGAGACGTCGAGGAGTGCTCCAGGTTGCTGTGGGGGCTTGCCTGCATAGCCCCCAAGGCCCGCATGCAGTGATCCAATCGGGGGGAACGAAAGGGGGGATAGCAAAGGGTAGGGTAGTGAACCAGCTCACGTAGCTGATTTTCCCAGCGCCTCCCAGCGCCCATGTATCGAGGCATGGGCCCGGCGGCGGGGCCGAAACCAGCCGCATGCAGCAGATTTCGTAACCCCCCCTTTCCCTATCCCCCCCTTTCGTTCGGCCCGATCCGAACGCCCGAAAGGCTTCGGGCGTTCGTCGACGGGGGGGCAGTCAACGCGGGTTGGAGTGACGCACACCTTTCGTGTACATCATCTGGGCCCGCGGTGGCAGTCCAGGGGTCACTTGGGCCCCGGCTGCGGCCCCTTTCCTGCAATCCTTGACCCCCCCCCCTCCAGTTCGGGGGCGCGCAAACATGGATTAGCGATCCATGGATTTGGCGCGCGGTCGCCAAATCCATGGATCGGGGGAGGTGCCCTCACCAAGATGCGGCCGGTGCCGCCTCGCTCGGCGGCGGAAATCCCAGACTCCCCATGGAAACGGGACCCGTCGCTGATCCACGCCCCCTCGATCCAGGCCTGCGATCGCCTGCCCAGGCGCGGCGCAGGGCACGGCGCGCGGCCCCCGATGCCGCGCAGGATCTGCTCCGCGACCGCCACGGTGTGCTGCAGGCACCCCTGCTTCTGAGGTGTTCGGCGAGGTCGAGCGAGCATGCTCTTTCCTCTGGATTGGTCCCCCCCCCCAGAACTGCTGGGGAGCGGCAGTCCGGTCGCTGTGCCACGCTGCGGGGCCTGGGGCGCGGCAGGCGCCGACCTGAGCCATACTGCTGCCAGCGGCTGAGCATGAGGGCGTTCTGAAAGCCAGGGGTCAAGAGGAAAAGGAATGCGACATCTCGACTTTCCCGTGCCACGTGGAATGGCCGAAATGCATGATGCAACATCTGGTTGATTTGTACACTCACCTGTCTGGCATGCAGCCTCCGCCGCACCCAACTAATCTCCATTACGTTGCTGCGCGCTGCGCTACAGCGTCGGCATCGGCGTCAGCATCCTCGTCGTTCTCGTTGGCGTCGGCGTTATCGTCGCACAGCTCATCGCGCGGCACAGCACGCCGGCCGAATCCAGCTGGGCGGCGAAGGCCAGTGAAGAATCGCGGGGATCTCCCTTGTGCGAGGACCCCACAGAGTCTTCCTGCCAGTACATGAAGGCCCATGGTTCATGTGGATGAGGACGGAGGAGTGAGGACTCAGGCGGAAGATCGCGAGCAGGAGGAGAAGGAGGAGGAGGAGAAAGGGGATAAGCAGAATAAAGAGAACATGCGGATGATGATGAGGATGATGATGATGATGATGATGATGATGATGCTGGTGATGATGATGATGCTGATGATGAGTACGATACTGATGCTGCTAATGATGATGGTGATGATGATGCTGACGATGGCGGCAACGATTCCAATGAGGATACGGATGATACATTTTTCTGCTAATGATGGTGATGGTGATGATGACGATGATGGTGGCAGTGGCAAACATGATGATGATGATGATGATGATGATGATGATGATGATGATGATGATGATAATGATGATGATGATAGTAATGATGATAACGATGACGATGGCGATGTCGGTGATGATGCTGCTGATGATGAGGATGATGATGACGACGATGATGATGGTGCTGCGGATGATGCTGATGATGATGCTGATGACGACGACGATGCTGATGCTGCTGCTGCTGATGATGATGATGATTACGAGGAGGAGGTGGAGGAGGGAGGAAGAGGAGGGGCGGCTACCGCGGCCGATTCTGGGGCCCGCTGAGCAATGGCACGCACGACACCGGGCCCGTGTGGCCTCGAAAGGTCGCGATGCAGCTTGTGTCGTCCTCCGCGTCGCCGCGTTACGCTGCTGTCGCTGTTCCCCATCTTCGTCTTCGTTGTTGTTGTCGTCCTCCTCCTCCTCCTCCTCCTCCTCCTCCTCCTCCTCCTCCTCCTAGTCGTCGTCCTCTTGCACCTGCTGCTGCTCCTCCTCATCCTTCTCCTCCTCTTCGTCGTCAATTTCCCTGACATCTTCGTCGTCGTCGTCGTCGTCGTCGTCGTCGCCGTCCTCATCCTCTTTGTCCTGGGTCAGCTATTCGTACTCCTCCTCCTCCTCCACCTCCTCCTGCATTCGAGGGTTTCGATGCATGCAGATACGGGGTGACGGGGAGGATGAAGAAGCAGTAGGCCAAGGATGAGAAGCGGGGATGAGGAGGGAGGGATGAAGGACGCACAGAAGAAGTAATCCTCTGCCCTGGTTGGCTCTGGTAATCTTTCCTTTCCTTGGCTTGAACGCCCCGCTTCTTCTGCCGCGATCGCCGCCGATTCTTCTGCTGCTCGTCCTCTTCCTCTTCCATCCCCTCCTACACGTCCTGCTGATGCGCTTGAGCTTGTACTGGCTCCTCAACCCCCCTTCTCCTCCAAATGCTCCTTCCCCTCTTACTCCTCTTCCTCATCCTATCGCTCATGCTCCCCCTCCTCATTTTCTACTTATCCTGCTCCCGCCCTTCGTCGTTGCTGTCATCGTCGTCCTCTTCCTCCCCTCCTCCTCCTCATCCTCATGCTCCCCCTTGACCTACTCCCACTTCCAATCCCACTCCCACTCCTCCTCCTCCTCCTCCTCCTCCTCCTCCTCCTTTTGCTCCTGCTCCTGCTCCTTTTCCTCCTCCTCCTCCTCTTCCTTCCCCCCCCTTCCTTGCCCGTCCTCACACCCGCCGGGGACGGCGGAACCGCCTGATCCATGACGGCGGTGCTGACGGCAAGCCCCCAGACCTCCCAGAACCGCAGGCGAGGATCTGGTGGGCTCCTTCCGACCCCAGACGCCCTGCCGACCTGGTCTGAGCTCGGGGCCAGCCGAGCCGTGGCCCTCGCCGGCCTGGCGCTTCCTCGGACGCCCCGGGGTCGCCCCCGACCAGACGACGCGGGATGAGGGCCCTCGGCATGAGGCAGCCTAGCTTCAAACTTTGGTGATTCTCCAGCTCCTTCCCTCCCCCCATCCTTCTCTCCCTCCATGCCATCGCTCCTCCCCCCATTCTTCTCTCCCTCCATGCCATCGGAGTAGGAGGTCGACTGCAGAATTGAGTTGTCCCTACATTGTCTTCCGCCGAATCTACGAAACAATTGGGCCAACTCTCCGTATATCTGCGATCATCGGACGTATATGTTGTACAGTCGACGAGAAAATCAAGTGTGGGGTGCATCATTTTTGGAGTCGATCCCCTACTCGAATCGTCGTCGTGGTCCTCCTCCTCCTCCTCCTCCTCCTCCTCCGCCGCCACTCTCCTGCCGATTGCCGCGAGCGCCCGCACTCCCGCGTGCAGCCGCCTCCCGCCCCCCCCACACACACTCCAGGTGCCGCTGCCGCGCGGTGTGGCAAAAGGACGCGCCTCCTCGGCCGGCGTGGACGCAGCCCATTCGACGGTCAAGCAGTGGCGAGGCGTCCTGGCTTGCCTATAGGCCCACCAAATAATGTTCTAATAACCTTTTGTGGTTTGCACGAAATGTTCTTAAACCATCTCTGGCTGGGGCTGTCTTGTTTCAACTCATCGGCTTTATGTTCTAAGAACAATGTTTTTGTTCTTAAAACATTTGTGGGGTTCAAACACATTTCGTGGTAGGCCTATCGGAGTGCCGGGACGGTCGGTCCCTGCTCAAGTCGGCGGCGCGCGCGCGCCATCTTTCCATGGAGACTCGCGCGCGAAGCCCTCGCGACCCGAATCAACAGCCAGCTGCACACAGCGCAACTTGGCCTCATCCTTGGCGCTGGCCTGGGCCCGCTCGCTCAGGCCGGCGCCCGTGGGCCCGACGGGAGAGCGCAGAAGGGCAACAAGGCAGCAGAGTTGCGATTTCCCCCCCCCGGGCCAACCTGCGGTGTTCGGGCCTCGGTTTGAGCGCGCAGCGCCCCTCGCCTCGCCTCCTCGACTCCTCCTCCCCCCTCACCTCCTCTTCCTCCTTTTCTTCCTCGCTTTCCAGCTCCTTCCTCCTCCCCTCCTCTTCCTCCATGTCTTTGCTATCGCCGTCGTCCTCCTCCTCCCCCTGCCCAGTCAGAAGTCAGAAGCCACACTGGAGAAAAAGAGAAGCGCACCACCCACTTTCAAACTAACTCCCTCCCCCCCTCTTCCTCCTCCTCGCCACTTTCCCCCCCACCCCGCTGGCGTCCAGGGACCAAAGCCGCAGGGTGCGGTCGGCTGAGCCGCTCAACGCGCGCCGCGCCGCCGGGTCCACGTCCAGGGCGAGCACCTGCGGCCCTCGGCGGCCCTCGGCGGCCCCCAGAGGCCTTCGGCGGCCCTCAGAGGCCCTCGGCGGCCCTCGGCGGCGGCGCGCAGGGCGGAGGGAGGAGGGCGGCGTCGTCGTGGCCGTGGCCGTGGCCGTGGCCGTGGCAGTGGCCGTGGCCGTGGCCGTCGTCGTCGTCGTCGTCGTCGTCGTCGTCGTCGTCGTCGTCGTCGTCGTCGTCGTCGTCGTCGTCGTCGTGGGCGTCGTCGCCGTTGTCGTCCGCCTCCCGCCGCTGAGCTTTGCCCTCGACCCTCGAGCGGACCAAGGATGGAGGATTCGGGGCGCCTCCTCGTCCCAGCACCTCGCCGTGGCCGCCGCCGCCGTCGTCGCCGCCGCCGTTGTCAGTCTCCTCCTTGGTCTCGTCCTCCTCCTGCTCGTCGTCATTGTCCTCCTCCTGCTCGTGCTCCCCTTTCTCCTCCAGCTCGTCCTTCTGCTTCCTCCTCGTTGCCGTCGGCTCTACCTCCTCGTCCTCTTCTTGCTCCTCCTTGCCTTTCTTGTACTCATCTCCCTTTTCGTCCTACTTCTCCTCCTCCTCACCCTCCTCCTCCTCCTCCTCCTCCTCGTCCTTCTCCTCCTCCTCCTCCTCCTCCTCTTTCTCCTCGTCCTCCTCCTAATATTCACCCCCCCAACCTTCTACTCCTTCCATTCGCCCTTCACCTCTTCGTCTTCCTGCTCCTCGTCGTCGTCCTGCAGGAGGAGGCGGCGCAGCCTGGTCTTCGTGGCCCTCCAGCAGGCCCGCGCGCTGCCCCGAATCCAAGTCCCACGCCATCAGGGTACTGGGAGCGGCCTCCATGTCTGCACATCCTGCGCCTGCATTTCTCTACTCGTGCGTGCCCCCTCCCTTTCTCCTGCTGTGTGCATGCGAGAGAAGAGAGAGAGAGAGAGAGAGAGATAGAGAAAAAGTTTATGTGCGCGCGCGCGTGTGTGTGTGTGTGCGTGTGCGTGTGTGTGTGTGTGTGTGCGTGTGTGTGTGTGTGTGGTGTGTGTGTGTTTGTGTGTGTGGTGTGTGTGTGTGTGTGTGTGTGTGGTGTGTGTGTGTGTGTGTGTGGTGTGTGTGTGTGTGTGTATGTTGTGTATGTTGTGTGTGTGTGTCTCTCTCTCTCTGTCTCTCTCGGGGGGGGGGGGAAAAAGGGCAGCCCCGGGCACCCATGGGGGCAGCCGGGCCTGGGCAAGGCACCCGGCGGCGCCCCCCCCGGTGCCAAGCCGCACCGGCTCCGTCCCTCTTTCTCGGACGTGCTCCCGCTCTCCCGTCGCCTCCTCTCTTGGCCCCTTAGCTGCCCCTTCGCTGCCCCGATACGCAACACGCAACACGCAACACGTATCGTATTGATACGGAGCTCAACACGTAGACTGCAAACGCAGGTCCGACGCGATACACTCGCCAAAACGTGGTCCAATACGTGGAGCCAACACGCAACGTATTGACACGGACGTCTTGAACACGGTACGTGTTGCGTTTCAAAACGCGCGTATCGAGGCAACTCAGGCCTTCCCCGCTCCCGCTCCCCTCCTGCCCTCACTCCCGCAGTCGGGGTTGATCGGAGCGGACGCGCGAGAGGACACCCAGACCCTTTCGAGGGCCACGCTGCCATAGGAATGTGGTCAGGCGTGGGTCGCGAAGCTCCGGACACAAGGGTGCCCTCGATTTGGCAGGGTCGACCTGCTAATCTTGAGCAGGGGCCGACCGTCCTGGCATTCCTATAGGCCTACCACGAAATGTTCTTGGAACCCCAGAAGTATTCTTAGAACAAAAACACTGTTCTCGGGACATATTCCCGCTGTGTTAAAACAAGACAGTCCCAGCCAGACATGTTCTAAGAGAACATGTCGTGGAAACCACAAAAGGGTTCTTAGAACATTGTCTGGTGGGCCTATAGGCACGCCGGGACGATTCGCCACTGCTTGATAATCCATCTCGGCTGTACGTCCGCTGCTGCGGCCCGCGTCCTCCGCCCGCGTCCAACGTGTCGCCTCGGGCCGTCCGGGGGCCGCCGAGCAGCCGGCCGACCTGCCAGGTCGGCCGGCTGCGCGGCACGGGCAGCGCGGCCCGGGCCGAGGTGGACAGTGGAGGAGGCCGAGGTCTTCGCCCCCGCCGAGGTCGAGGTCGAGGAAGAGTCGCGGTCGGTGCAGGTCGAGGTCGAGGAGGTCGAGGTAGAGGCGAGGTCGAGGCTTTCGCCCCCACTGAGGGCGAGGTCGAGGGAGGTCGCTGGAGCGGGGGGGGGGGGCGGGCGGGGGAGGAGGGCCCACGTCGCACGCGTGGGGGAGGGAGGAGGAGGAGGAGGAGGAGGAGGGGGAGGAGGAGGAGGAGGAGGAGGAGGAGGAGGAGGAGGAGGAGGAGGAGGAGGAGGAGGAGGAGGAGGAGGAGGAAGAGGAGGAGGAGGAGGAGGAGGAGGAGGACCAGTGTAAACCCAAGAGACATCAACGATGTTGGAATAAACCCTCCCTCCAAGCTCCCTCTTCATTGAGGGAACTGCCTCGTTGGAAGACAACCGTTTGAAGACCCTACAGCATGCAAAAACATTGTTCTCGGGATTTCAACGCCACGGATCAACATGCCTGTTGCGTGTTTTGACGATCCAGAATCGTGCCAGAACGCCATTCCTGGGACTTCAACACAACGAATCAACGTAACTGTTGCGCCCGCGTAATCCAGAGTCCTTTCGAAACGCCATATCTGCTACGTTGGTGATGGGAATCCGTCAAACTCTCGCAATATTTGCAAATTCGCGCTCTCGCGCGGAACTTCCTGGCAATGCATGCAGGAATCGCGTTTTCGCTCTGGCTTTTCTCACGATTTATTTGGGGATCGCACTATCGCTCGAGGGGTGCCTCAATATTCACGCACGACTCACGCTTCAACAACCGGCCTGCTCGACCTGGCCGCCTGGGCTCGGCTTCCCGATCCACCCGCTAGGATCTGCCCGCCCGACCTGCCAGTCTGGCTCTGCCACGTATTTTCTACTCCTAACCCCTCTCCTGTTAATTTTTCTCGTGCTCTATCCTCCTCCCTGCCCTTTCCATCCGTCCTCTCTTCCCCCACTTTAGAGGCTGCGCTATGCACGTGGCAGTTTCGGAAGACCTACCCCCAAGGAGGTTCGATCGAAGACGAAGAGGGCGGGTACCGAGGGTTCGGAGTATACGTGTTGAATGGCACGCGAGTGGATGAGAGCGAACATTATCAACATGATTACCTTTGTGGTTGCTGTTGCTGTTGTATTCTTCTTCCGAAAGAATAATTACGCTACCGAGGAGCCCCACATACTTAATTTAAATATTTTGTGTTTGCTTATGTATACATATATATATATATATATATATATATATATATATATGCACAATCCTGCGTTCTGAGCCCTCGTCGCGAATGTTCCCTATGGGTCATCCAACGCCAAATTGCTTGACCCTCCTCCCTCTTCCCAGCCTTCTATCCTCCATCGAGGACAGATTCGAGGTGAGAGTGCCACGCCTGCTAAGCTTTGCGACAGTGTCGTGGGTGGCGGCCGCGCTCAGAGACCCCCTGTGGTGTCGAGAAAGTGCCACGGCTGCAAAGCTTTGCGCCAGTGTCGTGGATAGCGGCCGAGCTGAGAGACCACCCCCTGCCCACCCCCTTTGGTGTCGAGAAAGTGCCACGCCTGCTAGGCTTTGCGCCAGTGTCGTGGATGGCGGCCGAGCTGAGAGACCACCCCCTGCGCACCCCCTGTGGTGTCGCGAAAGTGCCACGCCTGCTAGGTTTTGCGACAGTGTCGTGGATAGCGGCCGAGCTGAGAGACCACCCCCTGCGCACCCCCTGTGGTGTCGAGAAAGTGCCACGCCTGCTAGGCTTTGCGCCAGTGTCGTGGATAGCGACCGAGCTGAGAGACCACCCCCTGCGCACCCCCTGTGGTGTCGAGAAAGTGCCACGCTTGCTAGGTTTGCGCCAGTGTCGTGGATAGCGGCCGAGCTGAGAGACCACCCCCTGCGCACCCCGTGTGGTGTCGAGAAAGTGCTACGCCTGCTAGGCTTTGCGCCAGTGTCGTGGATAGCGGCCGAGCTGAGAGACCACCCCCTGCGCACCCCCTGTGGTGTCGAGAAAGTGCCACGCCTGCTAGCCTTTGCGCCAGTGTCGTGGATAGCGGCCGAGCTGAGAGACCACCCCCTGCGCACCCCCTGTGGTGTCGCGAAAGTGCCACGACTGCTAGGTTTTGCGACAATGTCGTGGATAGCGGCCGAGCTGAGAGACCACCCCCTGCCCATCCCGTTTGGTGTCGAGAAAGTGCCACGCCCGCTAAGCTTTGAGAGACACCCCCTGCGCACCCCCTGTGGTGTCGAGAATATGCCTTGCCTGCTGTGCCTTGGAAGACCGTCACGGATAGCGGCCGCGGTGAGAGACCACCCCCTGCGCACCCCCCATGGTGTCGAGAATATGCCATGCCTGCTGTGCCCTGGACGGCCGTCACGGGTAGCGGCCGCGGTGAGAGACCACCCCCTGCGCACCCCCTCTGGTGTCGAGAATGTGCCATGCTTGCTGTGCCTTGGACGACCGTCACGGATAGCGGCCGCGGTGAGAGACCACCCCCTGCGCACCCCTCTGGTGTCGAGAATATGCCATGCCTGCTATGCCCTGGACGACCGTCACGGATAACGCCGCGGTGAGAGACCACCCCCTGCGCACCCCCTATGGTGTCGAGAATATGCCATGCCTGCTGTGCCCTGGACGACCTCACGGATAGCGGCCGCGGTGAGAGACCACCCCCTGCGCACCCCCTGTGGTGTCGAGAATATGCCATGCCTGCTGTGCCCTGGACGACCGTCACGGATAGCGGCAGCTGTGAGAGACCACCCCCTGCGCACCCCCTATGGTGTCGAGAATATGCCATGCTTGCTTTGCGCCAGACGACCGTCACGGATAGCGGCCGTGGCGAGAGACCACCCCCTGCGCACCCCCTATGGTGTCGAGAATATGCCATGCCTGCTGTGCCCTGGACGACCGTCACGGATAGCGGCCGCGGTGAGAGACCACCCGCTGGGCACACCCTCTGGTGTCGAGAATATGCAATGCCTGCTGTGCACTGGACGACCGTCACGGATAGCGGCCGCGGTGAAAGACCACCCCTTGCGCACCCCCTTATGGTGTCGAGAGTATGCCATTCCTGCTGTCCCTCTGGTGTCGAGAATATGCCATGCCTGCTGTGCCCTGGACGACCGTCACGGATAGCGGCCGCGGTGAAGGACCACCCCCTGCACACCCCCTCTGGTATCGAGAATATGCCATGCCTGCTGTGCCCTGGACGACCGTCACGGATAGCGGCCGCGGTGAGAGACCACCCCCTGCGCACCCCCTCTGGTGTCGAGAATATGCCATGCCTGCTGTGCCTGGACGACCGTCACGGATAGCGGCCGCGGTGAGAGACCACCCCCTGCGCACCCCCTATGGTGTCGAGAATATGCCATGCCTGCTGTGCCCTGGACGACCGTCACGGATAGCGGCCGCGGTGAGAGACCACCCCCTGCGCACCCCCTATGGTGTCGAGAATATGCCATGCCTGCTGTGCCCTGGACGACCGTCACGGATAGCGGCCGCGGTGAGAGACCACCCCCTGCGCACTCCCTATGGTGTCGAGAATATGCCATGCCTGCTGTGCCTTGGACGACCGTCACGGATAGCGGCCGCGGTGAGAGACCACCCTGCCTCACGCGGCCGCGGTGAGAGACCACCCCTGCGCACCCCCTGGTGTCGCTGTGCACTGGACGATGTCACGGATGCGGCCGCGGTGAGAGACCACCCCCTGCGCACCCCCTCTGGTGTCGAGAATGTGCCATGCCTGCTGTGCCCTGGACGACCGTCACGAATAGCGGCCGCGGTGAGAGACCACCCCCTGCGCACCCCCTATGGTGTCGAGAATATGCCATGCCTTCTGTGCCCTGGACGACCGTCACGGATAGCTGCCGCGGTGAGAGACCACCCCCTGCGCACCCCCTCTGGTGTCGAGAATATGCCCTGCCTGCTGTGCCCTGGACGACCGTCACGGATAACGGCCGCGGTGAGAGACCACCCCCTGCGCACCCCGTATGGTGTCGAGAATATGCCATGCCTGCTGTGCCCTGGACGACCCTCACGGATTGTGCAGACGTCTTGGGTGTAGGATGCAGTGAACATGCGTCTTGTGTGTGCGAGTGTGTGCATGCGTGCGGCTGTAAGTAGACGCGTGTCTCATGTACTTGCCGTGCATGTGTTGACCGCGGGTTGAGGAGAGGAATGAAGAGGAGGAGGGGAGGTGAGGATACGCGGGTGCGCCGCGGCAGGGAAGAAAACCAGAACCCCACGAAACATGTGGGGAATTAGTGTTGTGCTCCCGGTGGCCATTGTATTTTTCAATGAGATGATCCTCCCGAGCCTCGCACCCTGTTTTTGTATTAGAGAAAGTCTGTGGTCATCGAACTGCGCCCCTGGCCCCCAGTTTACAACAACAATGGCTCCCGCCTGAGACTTCCTCACCGTTTATTTCAAATGTGCGCTCTCGCGCAGGACTTCTTCTTCTCTCTCGCTCTCTCTCTTTTTGTTGTTGTTGTTAAAAAACAACAAAAAAGAATAGTGTTTTCGCGTGGTACTTCCTCCAAATGCATTGCGGCACCGTGCCCCCTAGACTCAGGAATCACGCTCTCGCTTTGGATTTTCTCACGATTTACCCAAGGATCGCGCTATCGCTCGAACCTTCCTCCATGTTGGGTTGACGCTTTAGCGACCCGGCAACTCGACCTGGCCATCTGGGCCCGCCCGCACGACCTGCCCGTCAGGGTCCGCCCGCCCTACACGCCAGGCTAGTTCTGCCGCGTGTGCTCCTGCTCCTAACCAGCCTCCTGCCAATTTCTCTCCTGCTCCATCCTTCTCCCTTCACTCGTCCCCTCCTTTTCCTCTTTTAGGGGCTGCGCCAGCTACGCGCGGCAGGCAGGGAAGATGTATCCCCAAGAAGGGGTACGATCGAAGAAGAAGAGGGCGGGTACCGAGGGTTTGGGTTGAATGGCACGCGGGCAGGTAAGAGCGATCACTATCAAAGTGAGTGTTGCTGCTGCTGTTGTTGCTGCTACTACTGCTGCTGTTGTCGTTGTTGCTGCTGCTGTTGTTGTTATTATTGTTATGGCGTTTGTTATGTTGTTGCTGTTGCAATTGTAGTGGCTGCTGTTGTTGCTGCTGCTACTGCTGCTGTTGTTTTGTAAATCCGCATCGGGACGACGTCCAGCAACGCTGGTTTTCTGATCAGCCGCGGCAGTTAACTGGCGACGTAGACGTATATGACGAAAGTGCGCCTCCTTCGAGGCGTTGCCAAAGACGGCCTCGTCTTGGAGGGAGACCTGCCAGCCTCCGAGATATCGAGGGACGTGCTGCCCAGTCCGGCAGTTGCGATGAGTATCCTGTCCCCAGTACTTCTATGGAGATCGAACAGACAGTAAGGAGCTTGGCCTCCGCGACCGACTGGTGTCAGGTCCGGCGTGTCCCCCTACAGGCGGATTTTGGGCGAAAAATGGAACAGACTCAAGAAATATCCACAGCATATTCGAAAATAATCAAACATCGTCCCCATACTATTTTTTGACTATTTTGGAATCTTCCTCCTGTAGAGGGACAGGCCCGACTGAAGACTGGTGCTGCATCCCTGCCGGGAGACTGACGAGCAAATTGTGGGCAAGCCGCGCCGCTGCAACCATGCTTTTCCTATAGCCGGCCCACCGCACCTGCGCGGAGAGTTGCTGAATGCGGGCGCGGGAGAGGATAAGCTCGACCTGCTTCTTGTAGAGCGGTACGGTGGGTGGAGCTGATGTGTCCACACGTGTCTCGCAAAGACCTTCAAATTATTGAGGTCCAACATGTATACCACCCTTCTCCTACATTCGAAGTTGACGAGTTTAGACGGTAGGCCAAAGGCCAGGGACAAAATGTGGACACTTCAGCTTTGGGTTTGGGGGAGAGGGGTGCGAAGCAAGGGCATTTCGCAGCTGTGGTTGTTATCATGTTGCATCGCCTTCCCGCCCTGGGTGTGGACACTTTGTGTCCAGGTACCGTAGCTTGAATATTACATCGGGCATGGTCTGGTTGGCGTCCGTCGGCCTTCTCCTTTCCCAGCTGGAGAGTGGCCGTGAGGACAAAACGATCGCTGAGGCGTTGGTCTCTCAGCACGGCCGCACGATTCGCCACCCCGGCGATCGCGTCGCGGTTCGGGTGCGCATGAGGCGGCAGGCTGCAGAAGACTCGGTCGATGCGCGTGGCCTTCTCCTTGTGGGCTCGTTTCTGCTGACCTTGGGCATGGACGAGTAGAGCCCCCGCCAGAAGGGCGGATGATGTTGGTCGCCAGGAGGAGGGGAAGGAGGAGGAGCAGGATGAGGGAGGGGGACGAATATCCAGGCCGTTGGGCCACATGGCCGCTGGCCCCACTCCCCCTTCCTCATCATCCCCTTCCTCCTCCTCCTCCTCCTCCTTCTTCCTGTCGCCCTCTCCCTCCTCCACCTCCCGTTTATCCTTCCCCCCCCTCCTTCCTTGCTCCTCCTCCCCCAGCTCCTCCTCCCCGTCTTCTTTCCCTTCCGCCCCCTGCTCAGCTTCCTCACGGTTATTCTCCTCCCCCTCCTCCTCCTCCTCCTCCTCCTCCTCTGTCGTCACCTCCGCCTCCTCGTTGTGTCCCTCCCTGTCTCCCTCCTCCTACGTCGTCTGTCCGCCCCGATCTCGCTTGAGAAATATGAGCCAGGGGCTGCCAGCGGTGCCTCTGGTCAGGCGCCCCCAGCTGTCAGCGCCACTCTGGACGTCCCTGGGGCCCACTGGGGCTCGTGCAGGTTGCCCTGGAGGCCTCCCTGGAAATCCTGGGGACACCCTGGGGGCACACCCTGGGCCACGGGGTCCCTTGGCCACACCCGACATAAACAGGTGGCCTTCGTGTCCTTGGCCCTCCGCTCCTGGGGCCGACAGGGCGGCGACGAGCGCAAGAACGGCGATCCCAGACCCCCGACGTCATGGTCTTTTCGCACCGCCGGCCCCAGAAGGCCCCGACCCTTTCCCGAGGACCGGCTCTTCGTCCCGATACGTTTTCTGACCATCCCGGGGCTCGCCGAGGCCCCCCAGGGACAGAGAGCAGCAACAACCACTCCTGTCGAGATTCCTTCGTGGCCCGAGGGGGTCGGGGCAGAGGGCTCCGAGCTCACCTGGGCCGGGGACCTTCCGGCTCCAACTCCGTGGCAGCTTGGCGCTCTTTGCGCCGGTTGGGGCTCCCGACGCACGGAGGCGACGTGCTCCTCCCCCGACAGCCTCCTGCTGCGGTGCCAAGCTGGTGGCGCGACGAAGCCAACGTGATTGCACTGTCTGGTGACTTCTAGATTCGAGCCTCGGTAGCTACGGTTCGCTCGACAGATTCACGCAATAGATACGTAGCACCCCGCAGTTGCGGACGAGAGTGAGGGGTGGGTCGCGGGGTGGATTGCGGGTGGGTCGCGGGGGGACGGCGACAGCAAACAGCAACACACAAGCAGCATCAAGGCCACGACATTCCACTTCACCCACGCACGCCGGGATGGTAAGACCGTTCGGCCTCCTCACCCTGGCATGCATGCGCCGCGCACCTGCAGCTGCTCATGCGAGGTATCTGCAGTCTCGCGCTGCAGAGGCAAGGGGGCCCGGCTCAACGAGGGAGGTGGCCGCCGCCGCCTGGCCTCTCCTCGTGGCGGCTGGATCGGGGAGCATCCCCTGGGAGGTCTTCGCAAGAACGATGAGGTACTCATCGGTGGGAAGACGCGGGCAGGAGCATGCAGTAGGAAGGCGTTGGAAATAGGTTGGATCTCCGCCCGCCCCTGAAGTCGAAAGAAGAAGGAAACCACTCGATCCTTGCTTGACCAGCTAATTTATAAGCACGATCAAAAGGTCAATCCAGCCTTAGGTCGTGCATGTCCCCCTACAGGGAGATTTTGGATGATATATCAAAAATACGCAAAACATGCCCCCAAATAGTCAACAACATACAAAACGTCGTCCCGTGACTATTTTTGGGACTGTTTTTGAGCATTCCCCCTGTAGAGGGACAGGCCCGACTCAAATCCAGCGGCATCAAGCGGGACGGAGCCGGGGGCTACGCTGGAGAGGTCTGACGCCGGCCAGGCTCGGCCGGCTTTCGACCGCGAGTATGCCGGCGCCGATGCTGAATTCAACCTCCCAGACATCACGGGTCGGACCCGTGGTGTCTTTTCCCATCCCGCAGGGCGGGCGCTCAGGGGTTCCTGTCGGGGGCGCGCAGACATGGGCCATCGATCCATGGACTAGGCGCACGGTCGCCAAATCGGATCGGGCGGAGGTGCCCTCCCCAAAAATGCGGCCGGTGCCGCCTCGCTCGACGGCGGAACTCCGCGATTCTTCCCATGGGAGCAGGACCCGTCGCTAATCCACGCCGCCTTGATCCATGCTTGCGATCGCCCGATCCTGCTCCGCCCGCCAGGGGACTTGGACTGGCGTGGCGAGGTGCCGCCCGGCGGGCGGGTGCGGTGGGGCTTCGCCTGGTGGGAAGCCGTGGGTTTGCCCCTCCCCCCCGTTTTGGAAGCTGGGCGAGGGCCGGCAAATCCGTGGCTGCTGCTGAAACGGGCCGCTTCCCAGAAGATGCAAAACAACTTCCCGGAGCCCCGTCTTAGCAGCCACGAATTTGCCAGCCGTCGCCTGGCTTCTGACCCTTTCCGCTTGCCCTTTCCCGTCTTCCGTTTCCCCCACAGGCGCGGGTGGGCCATCCGCCCCGCAAAAGTGGCGTCCCGTCGGAGCAGCCGCTGAGCGCGCGCCTCTGGGACCACTGCATGGCGACCTCGGCGAGGAGTTCCTCCTCTTTCCTCCTCCTCCTCCTTCTTTCTCCTCATCCTCCCTCTCCTCTGTCACCTCCTCCACCTTCTCCTCTCCTCCTCCTCCTCCTCTCCTCCTCCTCCTCTCCCCCATTCCTTGTCCTCATTAGTGCGCCACCGTGCCTCTGGGCACAGAGTGGGTGTGTCCTCAAGCCCTGTAGCACTCCCTCGCGCTGGTCGGCGCAAATTCTCCCTTACCTCCTCCTTTCCAGCCTAGGGCTTGGCTCCTTTGGTAACCTCTTGGGGGATCCCCTCTGTAGCCTCCCTTCGTGTGGCCCCCTGGGCAACCCTTGGTGTCTTGACATCCCCCTTTGCATCCTCCCGCATGCACTCCTTGGTAACCCTTGAATCCTCAGTATTATCCTTTTCCGCCCCCTTTTCCTTTAACGGCTCCTTTCGTGGTGCAGTCTTTGGCCATGTGCCCGTACCTTCCACACTTGTAGCACATGGGTCCTTTGCCCTCTTTCCTTTGCTCAATTCGTTCGCGTTCCCGTTCCCGCCCGCATCATCCACACTCCAGGGCCACCACTAGCCGACCTCGTCCGACTAACCTGTGTTGTCTCCATTCGCCTCCAATTTCCACAGTTGTCATCGTTAACCTGGCCAATGTCCATCGCATCGGCATTCTTGGTGTCGGCGTCTAGCCTTGTCATCCTTGCCCAACCCTCGCGCTCAACGGAGAGCGTTTGGTGCGTGTCGATGCTCAACGACTCTGGAGTTTCAAGACGACCTTCCAGGCCAGTCATCAAACCAAACACAGGCGTTGGTCAAAGTGGCTCTCAAGGCAATAGCCCTGAATGGTAGCGTTTAAAAATATGCAAGCCCATACTGTTCCATTGGTTCTACTAACGCACTCCACAGTTCGAGCTGCACAGCCACCTCATTCACGTTCTTCGGGTTTTCGGGAATCATGGCCAAGTTCATCTTGTGCGACGGAGTAACCCCGGTAACAGCATAATGCCACCTGTCGACTTTTTGATGGGTCACCAAACCATCTCCTTCATGAAGGCCCTGAAGATTTTTCGGGGGCTCTGTTCCTTCTAGCTTGTCGTTTAACAAATATCAGGGGTCCTCGTCCAACTAGGGAAATCGTCTTAATCCAACTCAGATTCCCTCTTTTGGTCGTGTTTCCTGTTTTTGGATGTCCGAATTTTTGGTGCACTCGCTCTGCTAACCTTCCGTTCACGATCTTTATCATCTCGTACTCTTCGTCACCAAGGAATGTCCCATTCATGGTTCCGAATTTGTTGTTGAAATTCTTGGGGGGGTTCCGGTAAACGTGCGTCAATTGGGCGAATGCGTTCAACAAATTGTCGCTCCATTCTCTGAATCCGGTCCTGTCACCTGATAGTGTCTCTCACTGTTGAGCAGCCTTGTATTCACTCACGGGCTTGTTTCCCCCTCCGCCAGCCCTGCCGTTTCCTGCGGACTGCATTGCCTCAGCGACCTTGGTAACATGCGCCGAAGTGTTCACTCGATGTTGGAATTCTTTTCCCAGAGACTCCTTTAAATTAGTGAACGGTTCCTCGCAGTAGATGTCGCGATTGATCTGTGATCAGGAAGGCGCCCACTCTGTAGTTCATCTGCAACATTGTGAATGCTTCGTCATTTCCCACAATGCTGGGGCGACGTGTGGCACTGCGCTCGAAGATTAACTTCATGCCTTCGTGATTGGCTTTGGGCGCCGCGTTCACGTACCTTAAGCCTCCCTTCTCTCAACCCGCGTTGCACGGCTCCGCAGTCTGGTTCGTGCCCAAATTGTATCAGGCCTCGCATACACCAAATAACGACACATCATACATTGGAGTGTTGGTTCCGGGTATCGCAGAAGCAACTTCAGCTGCCGCCGCCGCCATCACTGCTCTGGAACCCGTAGGGCGAACCATGGGCCCCACTACCATGAAAATCAGGCAGGAGCTATTGCCACGAGAAAGTGATAGCACTTGAGGGAAAGGGCGACATGTGCGGAGAAGTCCTTGCCGGACCCTTCTATGCTAACTGCTATACTACAAGGCGCAACTGCCGAATGCACTCTGCTATACCTAACTAAATGCACCCTCTTCACCCGGTCGTAGCGATATGTGCAAACCTCCTCCTCCTCCTCCTCCTCCTCCTCTTCCTCCGCGCAAGGGGCGGGTGCACACGCCTACGAGGCGCAGGAGAGCACCTACAAAGTGGAGGTGCGCTCGCTCGAGACCGAGGCGAGCACGTACGAGGCGGAGGTGAGCACCTACGAGGTGGCGGCGCGCGCCCACCAGGCGCCAGAGAACACCTACGAGGCGAAGGTGGGCACGTACGAGGCGGAAATGCGCGCGCACGAGACGGCCGTTAGCACGTACGTGGTGGAGGTGGGCACCTACGAGGCGGAGGTGATCACGCACGAGACGGAGATAAGCACCTACCGGGCGGAGGTGGGCACTAACACGGCAAAGGTGCGCACGTACGAGACGGAGGTCAGCACGCGCGTGGCGGAGGTGAGCACGTACTCGGCGGGGGTGGGCACCTACGAGGGGGCACATGCGCGGTGGCGGCGGCGGTGACCGCGATCTGGACGGAGATGATCACCTGCGAGGTGCAGACGGTTGCCTACGAGGCGGTGGTGAGCACGCACGGGGCGGAGGCGACAGCGTGTGAGGCGGAGGTGGGCACCTGCCTGGCGGTGTCGAGTACGCGCGAGGCAGAGATGCGTACGTACGAGGCGGAGAAGGCGCTGAACTACCGTCGCCTGGACCCCTGGAGATCCTGATGGATGTCAGCTGGAATGCCAAGAAGGGGCACGGCCTCTTCGCGAGTTGGAGTGCCGAGGCGGAGATCAAGGTCGACGATGATTTGAGGGAGCCTGCTACGTGGTACTCGAGATCCATCGGGCTTTCTCGAAATCGAGCTGGCGCCGTCCCATCAGACATGCGGTGCAAACTACTGGAGGACCGCGCCTGGGTGCAGCGTTCACTGGACAGAGAAGAGGGCCGGCCGGAGGTAGAAGCTGTCTGCTCCGAGGCGCTCAACAATGACGGGGACGGTGGCAGGGCGCTAAACGTGCGCGCCGTGGTCCGCTACCGCTTGTCCAAGATCAGCAGGGCCCTCGCCGACATCGAGGAGTGCATCGCTCAGCAGGCGGACCCCAGCGACACCGATCCTACGCTCGTGGTGCTGAAGCGGTTCTTTCAGGCGAAGACAAATCAGCGCTGCACGCTTGGCTGCAGACGAGCAACACCCCCCGGCTAGTAGGGAACATTCGGCGCACGCCGACGTCGACGCCGACGAGCACGAGGACCGCGAGGACCGAGACGAGGACGAGGAGCCCACCCCGGAGTACAGCTTCAGCATCGGCACCGAGCGCGCACACCAGCAGCCCGGACGAGACCAGCGACGCATACGACTAGTATCCTAGAGACTCTTGCGTCGTCACTTCTCGGCCGCTTCTCGCACACCTTCGGAAGACTGGGCCACGAGGACGTGGTGGACGTGCCGCAGGGCGTGACGGACGTGCAGGAGCGGCAGGACGCGCCGCAAGCCGAGGAGCACGCGGAGGAGCGCCACGACTGGAGGACCGTGTGCCGCACGGGGGGGCTGCCCTCCCTCCTCCCCCGCGGTGGCTGCGACCTCCCTCCGCCCACCTACGTACTGTGCTGCTGGCGGCAGACGTCCCGACTCGGAGCCTGCCGATCTTTCGCGGTCTTTGCGCGACCGCTCCGACCCTCTTTCTCTCGGGCCCCACCGACTCGGCGGCAGGCACCGCGGGCCACCGCTCGCGCCTCCTTGGCACAGCGGCGGCGAGGCCGCCCCCTCGCCTCGAGGCATCAGGCCCTGGCAGCGCATCTCTCCTCCTGCAGTCGACCCGTATCGTGGACTGCGCGGTGAGGGTGGCCTTGGGCGCCCCTTTCGAAGCTTCGCGGGCGGCGCGCGGCCAACGCAGGTGGCCAAGGATGGACCGAGGAGGCCATCATGACGAACGAACAACACGCACCCATACCCATAGAGAGGACGGAGGGGGCTATGGGTGCGTGTTGTCGGATGGGGGTCCCCGCTCGAGCGGGAGCGTTCCCCAGGGCCCGACAACCCGCACCCATAGCCATAGCCAGTCCTCCTCTCAACGACCCCCTTATGGGTATGGGTGTGTGTTGCTCGTTCGTCACATCATGCAAGGGCTCCTTTGGGAAGGTCGCCCATCCTTACTGTGCGGGTTGACTGTGCTGCCTGCTCCTGCCCGAGCTCACAGCAATCGGCGAGCTCCGGCGTGGGCCCGGCGCTCGCGGGCGGTGAGCGCTCGCGCGCGCCTCGGCGCGCCTGCGGCACTGGGCGCGCTGCCGCAGCGCTGCGCATCCGCAGGAGAAGGCGAGGGCGCCACTCCTCGGAGGAGGAGCCCCTGAGCCCATCTAAGACGAAGCAGGACGAGGACGACGTGGAAGCGAGGATAGCTCGAGGATCTCTGAGATCCGGCGGCTCTGGAGGATGTCTCCGGCGCCGCGGCTTTCTCAGAGCGTTCCGGAACGCTCTGAAAGCGTTACGGAACGCCCTGGAGCGGATTTCTGCTTCTGCTAGCCCCGCCCGACTACAGGCAACCTGTATAATAAGGACGCACGATAATGATACAAGGATCTTGGAAGGCCATGCCGACACTTTGCGAGCGGGGCGCGGCCAGAGAAAGCGGCCCACGAAGGGGCCGAAGGGGAAGGAGGAAAGGGCCTAATCTTGGAAAGCTGCTGAACCTTCCTATGCGGGTTGAGTGTCCTCCCCCCCCCAAAGCTGCCGCAGACCTTGCCAACCCTCGGCTGCATGCAAGAGTGGCCCTGGGCAAGAGTGACCTTTGGTGCGCAGATTTTTGAGGGCCGCGGGGGGACCTCACACGGGCGCGCAAGACGCTACTATCGCATCGCGCTCGGCGATCGGGGACCCCAACGTGCCCGCAACGAAGGTCACTCTGGCGAAGGGTCACTCTTACGTCTACAGCCGTGAAAATGACCAAGCAAATCATCATCACACAACTCTGGGCCAGCTTCCCAGACATTTCCTAAAACAAGGAGGGGCCAATTTATGTTGTCAACGCGAACGTGCTCAAACACTGGGCCAGTTTTCCAGCAGGTTGGTTCAGAACCGCTAGTCCAACTTTTTCGGGCGGAGGTTTCTTGATCAGATGCTCTGAAAGGACCCAAGGACACGCAAACAAATAGACAACACATCCCATGACTGGACTCCCCATATTCTCCAATATCTTCTGGGCTTCCGTCTTCCCTCCCACTTCCCATACTTTCCCCTATTTTCCTAGGGATCGACGATTACTTGCATCTGTGTGTTTTTCCTTCTCCTGACCCGTACATGCAACGTCCTGATTTTTTCAAGACGGCGTCCCCGGAATCCCCGACCCTTTCCCCAGGGCCCGTTTCTCATTCTGCATCGGCTTTTGGCAGTCCCCGGGCCCGGCGAGGGCCCCCAGGAGCCGACAGTGGCGAAAACCTCCCGTCCTGATTTTCTAACGACGCGATCATGTCTGGGGATGCTCGACCGTGGTCGAAACCCTCCCGGCCGCCGCCCCGATCTGCCCATAGCACACGGGGGGCGCGCGCGAGGCGCGCCCCGAGGCCGCGGCGCAGGTCACCATGCCAGCGTGGCCTTTGAGCGTGCGCAGGCAGGCCGCCCGCTCCAGGTCCTCGAGGCCCAGGCAGCGAGAGGGTCGAGAGGAGGAGGAGGCGGAGGAGGAGGAGGAGGAGGAGGAGGAGGAGGAGGAGGAGGAGGAGGAGCAGGAGAAGGAGGAGAAGGAGGAGGAGGAGGAGGAGGAGGAAGAGGAGGAGGAGGAGGAGCAGGAGGAGGCGGAGGAGGAGCAGGAGGATCGAGGGCCCCTCGAAGGATCGAGGTTCGAGGGTCGATCGTGTGACGATCGAGGATCGAGGGTCGAGCGTTCGAGGGTCGAACGTTCGAGGCTCGAGGCCCAGCTCGAGGGTCGAAGCCCACATTCGAGGATGGACGGTCGAACGTCGAACGCCCGGGCAATTTTCCCAATCCTCCTGTGTTGTGTGTCCATGTTGAGCTGAGCACTGTGGCCTCCCTCCTCCTCCTCCTCCTCCTCCTCCCCCCTCCTCCGCCCCCCTCCTCTCCCCCTACTCCTACTCCTCCCCCTCCCCCCCCCTCCCCCTCCCCCTCCCTCCTCCCTCATCTTTCCTCCTCATCTTCCTCCTCCCCTCCTCCCCTCCTCCTCTCCCCCTACTCCTCGCCGTCCCCCTCCCCCTCCCCCTCCTCCTCCTCCTCCTCCTCCTCCTCCTCCTCCTCCTCCTCTTCTTTCTCTTTTGCCTCCTCACGCATTGCGGGCGAAGCGGTTTCTCTCGCGCAGCTCGCGACGCGCCGCGCCCGACGGGCGGCGCAACGCAAGGAGCTCTTCCTCACTCCACGGATATCTGAAGGCCTCGAAATAAAACCTCGGCGGGGAGCGGGCCTGTAGAAAAACCACAGGACCCCGAGAACCCCCCGCCACAAAGGACAGACAGAGGAGTCTCAGAGGGCCTGGAAGAGATGGGGCGGCGGGGGCCGCACGGGCCGCAGGGGCGCGGCAACGCGGGGCCCATTGGGGGTGCCACCCGAGGCCAAGGTCCAGTGGCCCCCCAGCCCCCCCCCCAGGGGATGACAACCTCCAGCACGCAGTTGCGAAACTGGGGTGATGGTAGGAGGGCCCGAGCTCACATGCACATGGGGGACCCCCCCACCAGGCAGGAGAGAAGCCGAGTGGCCACGGCTCTCGATGAGGCATCCTGGAGAGAAGGAAGAGCGGGGGGGGGGCCCACGAACGGAGGCGAGGACCCAAGAGGAGAGTGCGCCCCACAGGCCCTGCAATGGCAAGATGGAGGGGCCTCCAGGGCACTCGAGAAGGTAGGAGGTGCTTGCCCCAACGGGGGTCTCCAAGGTCTCGAGGGAGACGGCGCCACGCGGCCGCGGGGCCGCAAACTCGCCCCCTTCGGCTAGTCCGAAGGGGCGTCCCTGCTGGTGGCGTAGTCGTGCAGGGGTTCACCTCCGATTCGGTGTGGGCGCCGTCGTTGAAGTTCTTCTTCAGCCAATGTTACAGGCCTGTGAGGACGTCTCTGTGGTTCTGCTGTCTCCGCTGGTGCTGATATGAGCGTGGTCTCCATTGCCTGAGTTGGACCCCATAAGCAACATACCCAGACCACTGTAAACGTAGTGATGCCAAGACTCAGCTCGCTCGATGCTGCCTCCTTTGTCCCTGATGGTACTTAGAATGATTGTATCCATGCTGTTGTCGTCATTGTCGCTTCCGGGATGTCAATGATGGTCTCGTCGTTGTTGGTGATGACTCCTCGCTGGTGTCGCAATTTCTCGTACCCGTCTCTATTGAGGCGCCTGGCCGTGTGGTAGAGGATGATGCGAGATGTCGTGCCCTCCACACTGGTATCGGCGATGGGTATTGCTCGTCGCAGTGCTTCACTAGCGGCTCGTACCCGTTGACACACTGATTCCTTCAGGTGCCGCTGCCCCCAAGACGTGGAGCGGCTGCGCAGCTTTTCACCATGGCTCACGGTGTCAACATTGATGCCAATAATTCCAAAGGGGAACCCCTTCTTCGCGGATGAGCTTGACGATGCCCTGGCTGTTGTTGTCATCCTTCTCGTACGATGGGGGGGTCTATTGACTTCGGTGTTGTGCCCGGCCCCGTCGACTGCCGGTTGGTTTTTCTTTCAGGCGTCGGAGATGAAGAAAGCCGTTGTCAGACATGGTGAGTATATCGTTGGGGACCGTCGCGCTGTCGTCGTCGTTCGCGTTGTTCAGGTTCTCGGTCTCCGCGTCTGTTTCCTGCACCTGTGCTGGCGCCGTGGCCGGTATCGGCGCTGCAAAGCCATCGGTATCGACGATCTTGGGGCCGATCGGTGACACTTGGAGCTGCATGTACATGATTTCGGCGTAGTCCGCTGGCAATCCACTGTCTCGTTGGTACGTCGTGCCCTCTTGATATCCGCCTTGTTGGTTTCAACCCCGTCGTTAGTGGAATGGGGCAACGGTTTGATCCAGGGTGCTGGACATGCTCGCGAAGCTTGCGCGTGCCTGAGGAGCCTGCTCGGCGTGCTGTATTCCCTAGCGCAGACCTGGCACGGTGCCCCCGTGACGATGTCGGCGATCTGATTCGCTGGCTGGCAGTGGTTGTTGATGCGCTTGGTGCGTGCCACTTTCCTACCGAGCTTGGCCCCGCACCCGTGGCGCATGTCTGTCTGGCGACTAGCCGTGGTGCTGGTCGTGGTGTCGGTGATGATGGGCTGCGCAACTGTTGTGCATGTTGCCGTCGTCTCCGCTCTCCACCTCACTCGTCTTTCGTCGCCAATCCATGTTGTCGCTTTCCGCGTTGCTGCTGTTGCAGTGCACTTGGTAGCTCGTGGGTCTTCGCGCGCAGCAATGAACAACTCGACGGCGTCCTCGATATTTGTAATCGCTTCCCGTTGCTCGATGTACTCGCTTGTCTCATGGATGTAGTTGTTGATCGTAAGTGGCCCAAGCTCCTGGGTCAGTGATGTTGTCGTCGACCAGCGCTTGAAGCTCCCCCCGGCACTGAGTGATGAGGCGTGGAATCTGACGAAGTCGAAGTTGCCACGGTCGGAAGCTCGGCCTTCGTGAAGATCTCAAGGTTGGTGGTTGCCATTCTGCTCATCTCGGTGTGGGTGATGCCGATGGCCTGCCGCGCTGCTGATGCGCCTGCCGCGTTGATTCTTCTGTAACTGGAGGACTTCGCAAGGGTCCATGCCCAAGCATTGAAGGACATCTGGGTGTACTCATAAGCTGTCAAGTAACGAGCTTCATCGGGCCTGTGGCTTCTTTACTGGAAGCCGTTCGCGATGCAACCTCCTGGCTGATATCGCTTCTGTCGTTGATCAGCTCGTGACCTGCGTGTCCATGTCAGTGAAAGACTTTCATTCGCGATCATGTCTCTTACAGCTCGCTTCCCCAGAAGGGCGTTCGCAACGCCGTGAGGCTCGATTTGCTTGTGTTGATCGGTGGCCCGCGCGTGAGTGTCGCTCCACTCTGACGAGGTGGCCACGCGTGGTCTGGGCGGTCTCCGCTACGTCTTTGCCCATGTCGGTCGTCGCTGCAGCCTTTGCGTCGTCGCCGAAGGATGTGGACGAGCTCTTTCTCCTCCTGGTCTTACTGAAGCATTCGCGGTGAATGTTGGATGAGCGCGACCGCGCCGTCGAGTGTTGCCTTGTGGTGGCACTCCTTCGTAACCTCTGATGTGAGGGCGTTGAATGTTAAATCCGCCGGCGGGACTCCTGGTCGCGAACCGAACACTTGCGCTTCAGAGGTGGCCTCCGTGCTGATGTAGAACCACTTGCCCCTGTGCGCTTCCGCGAGCATGGTGGTGATGTGCTCGCTGTCCACGTGCTGTTTGACGATCGCGTTGTCGCCCATGAGCCCGCGGATCGCTGGCTGCGTGCCCTCGGGGATCTCGAAGTGCTCCAACATGTCTTCGATCTCGTCTGCGCTGTGCTGCATGCTGTGGGCGAGGGCGTCGATGACCTTGTGGGAAGCCTCCTTGCGGTCGATCGCGAGGTGCACGCGGTCTAGCTTGTTCCTCTTCTCCATGACGCAGAGGAGCCTGATAGTGAGGTGGTTGAAGTCCGTGGCGTCGTGCTGCCTGCCTCCCGTCTGAGTGCTGACGAAAACATTAGGGTTCTGGTCCTTCGTGCGCTTGTCTGATGTATCTGGTGGTGCTTGATTGCTGCGTTGGCCAGGGTGATGGGGCTAAGCCGGTCATGTCCGAAGCCGTATGGGCTACTCTGTGTCAGCAGTAAAAAGGCAACTGTGAAGATGGGCGGGCGCGCGTGCATGACCATTTCCTTCGGGGCGAGCTTCGCGAGGTCGTCCGTGTTGTCTGAGCCAAGGAAGGGCCTATAGTTGGCGGCCTTGGTTAAGATTTCGGTCAGCTCGTAGATGCTCGCGAACTTCTGGGAATCCCTCTTCATAGCGGTATTGGCAACATCTTTTTCGCTGTAAATGTCGATGATCTGCTCGCGCGACCGGAACCTCGCCGCCTCGTTGTTGCCGGAGTGCCCGGTAGCTTCTCCTCCTGTTAATTAGCGACGTTGTCGTACGTAGTTCGCCGTTCCCGTGGTCATCAAAGGGTATGCTCTTGCCTTCGTCGCTTGCGACCTCTGAACAAGAGCGGCTTCTTGGTGTATATCCACTCGTCGTGGTGCAGGTGGGCTTCTCTAGCTTCTTGCGATCGTTCCACTTGCTGCTCTGGGAAGGTGTCGTGGTCGTGGTGGGCCATGTTGATGATGATCTTGCGAGGTGCGTGGGTCCACGTCTTGGCGGCCTCGACGGATTGTTTGTTTGCGCCTGCTCGTGCCGAGCCGCGTGCTGCGACAGTCATGTCGAAGGTCTCCCTGTGCATGGCGCGGTGGGGCATGCTCCTCGTCGTCGCACGCCTGGGCATCCTTCTTTTTACCGCCGGCTGGTGCTGGCCCCGTGCGTTTGCCTATCTGATCATCCCCATTGCCCTTCTGCTGCCGAGGACGAAGCTTAGCGTGTCGTCCAATCTGTACTCCTGGTATCCCTTTCTAGCCTGCTTCGGGAACGCTTCCTGCGCAAAACCTCCCGCCCTACTTTTTTACGACGCGATCATGTCTGGGAAGCCTCCTGGGCGCGTTCCTTCACGAA